AAACCAATCTAATCGTCATCACCACTTCCACACAAATAAAAAGTATAAATATACAATCCATAAATAAAATTATAAAGTTATTATTCATACAAAAAATAAATCACTACTATGTGAAAACTTATAGTTCTCAAAAAAAAAAAAACAAAGCTCAATCTAATCAACAATATAAAAAATAAGTGACTAATAAAAAATAACAAGTATTACTAATTACACAAAAAAAAATATTCAAAACCAATCTAATCGTCATCACCACTTTCACACAAATAAAAAATACAAATATCCAATCCATAAGTAAAACATTCGAACTATTATTCATACCTAATCATCACTTTGCTTAGAATTACATGAAAACTTATAGTTTTCAAAAATTTAATTTTTATTGAAAGTGAACAAAACATATTGTTGATTGTCATAAATTAGTTAAAAGAATATCTATTACAAATTTTGTTAATGGCAAAGCATCTCACTATTTCATGTTGATTATTTTTTTTGTTCAATTTTTATAACTGGGTAGTTATCAAATATTTTATGTTTAATTTTTATAACTGTGTAGCTAGCAAATGTTTAACATTTATGCATGTTTATGAATATTGATGATTTTTTCATGTTGATTTAGTAATGTATGTTTTGGCAATAGTTTGTTGTTTTTAATTTTTAATGTTCGTGTAGTTTAGTTGTGGATATATTGTCATTAACTAATTGTTGTTAAATGTTATATGTTAAAAGTATATTATTTGTACCTTGATTTAAGTTGATTTTGTTTAAGTTTTAATTTTACGATAAAACTTTGCATAAAATTAAAAATATTTTTATTAAACACACATAAAATACATAATATCTCTAAGTTTAGTACTTCTTTTTTCAAAGTTTGCTAGTTTATGTTTGACCCCAATAGCCTCATACACACCATCACTACAACACAAAAACCAGTACTCAAATAGACAATGTCATCATTTTTGGACATGTAAGTTATTTGATATATTGATTTTTTCAAAACCTTTGGTATAATATTTCATTAAAAATCATTATATAGTGATTATATAATTTTTTATCCTTCTTATTACAAACTGATTCATATCTAGAGTACACCGTAAGTAAATCTTCTTATCACGCATCTTAGTATCGATGGTTGATGTTTACTTTTTATTTCTTAACAATTAATGAAGTTTAAATTGTCTTTATAATCCATAAATAAAATTATCAATTTATTATTCATACCAAAAATAAATCACTATTGTTTGAAAACCTATAGTTCTCAAAAAATAAAAAATAAATCCAAAGTACAAGCTAATCAGCAATTAAAAAAAAATAGGTGACAAATACAAAAAAATAAGATATCAATTGCACCAACAAAAAATGTTCAAAATCAATCTAATCGCTATGTGTTGAAAATATTCAAATATCCTATTGTTGTGTGTTGAAATTTTATAAGTACCATAGTGTATTCAGGTACAGGTAATAACTAGTATATATATATATATATATATGAGAGATAAAGAGAGTTTTAATTATGAAAGATTTAAAATGAAAGACATTTAATTTTATCTGAATGTTTGATTTGTGTATTTTATATGATCCTTATTAATTTTATTTTTGTATTTAAATAAGGGTAAATGTGTTTAACCCAAAGATAGACACTTAGACTTATTGACCAAAAAGATAGCTAGAAGAGATCGGCTTCCAAAAACCTCATTAAACTAAAAATTGGTTATTTGGGGTGTCATACTTATTTTTTTTAATAATATCACCTATTATAGTTCTTAGACAATGGAAACTCAAATTTTTACCCAAATTTGAGTAAACAAAAGTGTAAAAAGCTTGACTTGATACAAACCTCTACAATGGAGAAACTCAAATTTAAAGGAAGAGAAACTCAAATTTAAATAAGAAAAAATTCAAATTTAAAAGAGGGTAAAATATGATCGTTAGATCTTTAAAATATAATGTAATTTCACCATTAAAGATTTGAGTATAGATCGGAGTCTCGTTTGATTTGAATAAGAAATTAAGTTTCCCTTCATTTATGAGTATGAGTTTAATATTGGAGAAAATTTTTAATTTTTTTTATTCAAATTTAAATTTGAGTTTAAAAAAAGGTTAATTGTACTGAAGGTCTCCAAAGTATGAGGTTTATTTCATTTTGGTCTCTAATGTTTCAATTGTATCATTTTGGAGCCCTAAAATATTGAATATTAGTTATTGTTTGTGCCTGAAGGCACAGAGTAATAAAAAATGATAAACAATAAACATATTTGTATTCACATTCAAAATCAAATTACAAACATAAATGAGAGATAAATAAATTTAAGCGTCGGTCGTAGTGGAGTTGAGAAGTGGTGGACGGCAGTAGTAGTGATAAGAGATGATGATAGTTGTGGTGGGTGGCAATGACTGTGGTGGTGACAGTGACGGCGACAGCGATAGTGATGGTGGTGGCAGCAGCGACGCCAGTAGTTGTGGTGGGGGTGGCGATGGGGGGTAGTGGCGATGGTGACAGCGACGGTGGCGATGACGACGACAACAGTGGTGACGACGATAGTGGTGGTGGTGGCGACGACAATGGTGGCGGCAATGGTGGTGGTGATGGTGGTGGATGGCAATGATGATGACGATGGTGGTGGCGGCGGCGATAGTGGTGGCGACGACGACATTGGCAGTGGTGGTAGAGGTAGTGATGGGGCGGTTTTAAAAACTATTTTTTTAAAAATATTTATGATAAATAATTCTTTGAAAAAATCACTCCAAACACACTCTTGAAAACCTATTTTTACTATTAAATTTAAGGTGTTAATATTAGCCGTTAGTTTAACTTTAAAGAAAAATTTAAAATAATCTAAACCGAGAAAAACAAAAGTCGTTTTTTTATCTTTTAAAATTTGAATTGTAAACTATTTTATTATATACATGTTTTTATATGGTATTTGAAGCAGATAACGTACAAATTGTTAACGATTTTTTTATTAATAACTTGTCATGTAATACTTTAATATGGAAAAAAAATAATTTTGATAGCTTTTAAAACAAGATTTGGATAGCTCTTGACAAAAAAATATGTAATATGGATAGTTTTTAACCAAAATTTGAATAAAGATTTGGTCAAAAGTTATCTAAATTATTTTTTAGTCCAAAAGATATCACGTGACAAATTTATAATAAAAAATTATTACCAATCTAGGCAATGTCTTCTTAAAAGACCATATTAANAGTCCAAAAGATATCACGTGACAAATTTATAATAAAAAATTATTACCAATCTAGGCAATGTCTTCTTAAAAGACCATATTAAAACATATTTAATACTTTAAAGAATAAAATGATGTAATTAAAATATTAAAAATCAAAATAGGACAAATTCTATATATTAAAAACCTCTCGTTCAATTAACCCCCAAAAAACATGTAAAGATCGAAAATGCTCGAAGGCNTGTAATTAAAATATTAAAAATCAAAATAGGACAAATTCTATATATTAAAAACCTCTCGTTCAATTAACCCCCAAAAAACATGTAAAGATCGAAAATGCTCGAAGGCGGTGATCAAAACTGGCTCACAATTCATGAGAAATTTGCAACAAGTGACNAATTAACCCCCAAAAAACATGTAAAGATCGAAAATGCTCGAAGGCGGTGATCAAAACTGGCTCACAATTCATGAGAAATTTGCAACAAGTGACGAAAGCATTGAACTAATCCACTTCGGACTCTTCACCACGTGTAATCTCACACACTGCCATTAACCTCACGATCGATTCCCACGTGCCGCCTATCCGTCCACCCCCGTTCCCCACTTTCAACTCTTTCCCCCTTGCTACGCCTTCTCCTCGTCCTCCTCTCATTCTCTGTCCAGACTGGTGTAACATTTCTCTTCAAGAAAGAAAAAGGAAATACACAAGTGCTTCTGATCCGTGAGCACAATTTTTGCTTCTCTCTCTCATGTCGTCAACTTTTGCGGAGAGGCTCGAGCTCGCGAAGCTGTGCAGCTCTAAAGACTGGTCCAAGGCCATTCGCGTTCTTGATTCTCTCCTTTCTCAGTCATGCGTCATCCAGGACATTTGGTGCGTGCACAAAAATTCTTCAATTCAGTCTAATTCCTTTGTACTTTAGCTATACTCGATTGTCAATATTTTTTTTTTGGTGATATTTAAATTCGAATCATTTAATTGAGGACTGATTAATTGTTTAACTTCGAAATTGTCTTGAATTTGTTCAGTAATCGAGCGTTTTGCTATAGTCAGTTGGAGCTTCACAAGCATGTGATCAAGGACTGTGATAAAGCAATTCGGCTTGACNGTTTTGCTATAGTCAGTTGGAGCTTCACAAGCATGTGATCAAGGACTGTGATAAAGCGCTTCGGCTTGACCCAACGCTTCTTCAAGGCTACATCCTGAAAGGTTTTTCTAATCAAACTTCCAATTGCTCTGTTACTTCGTTAATTACCTGCATTTCCTGAGAGATTTAGGCTCTCCTTTTGGATTTTTGGATTATTTGATATATGAATTGTGTAGCCATACTCTCAAATGTGGAATTAGACTTCCATAGAAGTTCACTTTTTTGACTTTCTCATAGGCTTTTTCTATGAATCCAAGGTGCTTACATTATATCATGCACTACTTCTTGCAACCAATGAGGAGTAGGTATAGAATTCAAAGTTGGCGTAATTTATTAAGTAAACTGACCTCCAGCAACCTGACACTGTTTCAGAGCTACATTGAGTCAGCAAGCTTCGGAAAGGTCTGTAGCTTGGCAAATATGAAATTTTATAAACCCTTATAGTAGGCATTTTTTTTTTCTTGAAGTAATCTTGAATTTGTGCTTCTCTACTTCTACAGGAATCTCAAAATCAATACCATTTGGCATGGTTAAAAACATAAAATTACTGATGTTGGGTAGTCATAGATGAAGGCACTCAAAAATTGATTTACATACTCTACCTATACAAAGAGGGAAAAAATAAAGGATTGTCAGAGCAAAAAATTCAAATTCAAGAGGTAATATGTGGCCTTCTAGAAGATATTTTGTTTGATGGTTGAGGCTCCTTTACCTCAGCATTTGATAGGGGAAAACTACAACAATCCCCTTTCCTGCAAGAGGATATGGGTAATGATGAGTTCCCTCGAATAATATAAGGTGCACCATATGCAAAACCTGAATTTGAGTTGATTTCACATTATGCAACTATCTATTGACATAATGNATGCACTACTTCTTGCAACCAATGAGGAGTAGGTATAGAATTCAAAGTTGGCGTAATACATTATATCGTGGACTCCAGATATGATTTGCCTCTTTATGAAGGGATAATCTATATTAAACTTAATTTGGCATTGGACGAATTATGGATAATACAGCTGAATCCCGAATGCTATTACAACACTTTTTTTTTTTGAAAGAGAACTTTATTTATTGAAATCCAAAAATTACAAGAAGAAAAAAACTGAAACTGTTAAGCAAAAACAAACAAAACAGTAAACTATACAAAATCCAAAAAAATCCTGTACAGCAACTGGTTTTCGGCCCTTCAGCACAGCTCCTGCCTTGATTGATCAACATGCAGTTCAGCAATCTGCACTCCCAGTCATCAAGACAGAACCCAAAACAGAAACTGTTTAATAAAAAAACATTAACTGTTATACCAAAGAAAAACAGTACACTGTTTTTTAAAAAATCTGCTATAGAGCTGCTCCATTTGCTCCTCCTCTCTTCGGCTTTCAACACCTCAAATCAGTACCCAAGAAACCTTGACTCATCAGCATAAACTAGCACTACCTGTACAAGCTGACTTAGCCTTTATCATCAAATTGCTATTACAACACTGGGATTTTCAAGACTAAGTGGAATTTTGAACGTCTCATGGACCAAGAGCCTAACTTTTTTGATGTTGCTAACCCATGTTGATGTTCCCTTTTTCTTCTTTTTTCATTTTTGATAGGTAATAGTAGACTTTATGGAAAGAATCATCAGACCCACCCAAAATCTCTCAGCAGTTTTGGGAAAAAGAAAACGGCGCACAGTTGACACACTATTTAATTGTGCTTTCCTTATGCCTAAAAACAAGATTATCTCTTGCTTATCAGCAAAGAAAAATGAAAGATAGAACAAAAGAAAATGAGAACCCCTTTAGATGAGATCTACACATGCTTTCTATGCAGCTTATGAAGTTTTTGTCATGACAGTAGCTGGAAACTCTTTTTAGTTTTTGTTGTGACAATAGCTGGAAACTCTTTTTCAATGTTCTTTTGATTGATATTTCTTCTGGTTAATTGCATGAAATCTTAGTATTGATCTATGTATGTTTCTGAATGACTTACAGCGAGGCTCATACATTCTTTCATGAACTTAGTCTTGTAGTATTTGTGATTAGGTCGTGCATTGTCTGCATTGGGAAAGAAGGAGGACGCTCTTTTGGTCTGGGAGCAAGGTTATGAATATGCTGTTCGTCAGTCTGCAGATTTGAAGCAACTACTGGAGCTGGAAGAGCTTTTGGCAGCTTCAAAACAACATAGTAGTACTTTTGATAAGCATGCTGTGGAATTGTCTGGGTCTTCTTTGCCTGCTTCTGGATCTGTGCCTTTTGTTTCGGGCAAATCCAGTGGAACCTGTGATAATGACAGTAAGTTGAATGGTACGTGTGAACTGCACACTGAGTCGAGGGATGCACAGGAGATCCACGGCAAGTCCAACAAGAGATCTGGCATACACAATGCTTCAAATGGAAAAGTCAAGGGGAATAAAAAGTTGGATAGCCAAGCAAATGGACCTCGTGACAGGCAACCAAATGGAACTTATGACATTCTAGATAGATTGAGCGATCAGTCCGAATTATGTGATGACTTATGTGATGCAACTGAATCATACAGCAAATCTGCTGCAATTAGTGGTGGCTTAAGTGAACTGTCTGAAATTTGCAGTAAATCAAGTGATCGATTTGTCATGCGCAACGAATTGAGTAATGAAGGCAATGGAAGCAAAAAGTTCTGTGTGACAAGGATTTCAAAGACCAAATCAATAAACGTTGACTTTCGATTATCAAGGGGAATTGCACAGGTATGAATGTAAACCTTTGTATTTAAGGTTTGTCTATTATTAAGGTGTCATTGCTTGGACTTTGTATGCCGAATAACTTTTCTGAGGGGTTTAAATGTAAACTTGGGGGTTTTGCACCATCCCATATGCCATTGCAGCCTTTTCACGTTGGATATTGTTTCATAACTCAATAAATATCTTCAAACCACATGATTATTCTAATATTGCTATTACTTTTCCTCNGTTTTGCACCATCCCATATGCCATTGCAGCCTTTTCACGTTGGATATTGTTTCATAAATCAATAAATATCTTCAAACCACATGATTATTCTAATATTGCTATTACTTTTCCTCCTCTATGTTTGGTATGCTAATGGGTAAGTCTACTTCATTTGAGAAAATATATCAGCAGCTTGATTTTGCAAATGATATTATCAGTATTAGTTATCTAATGTTATCTAAATTGGCTATTTCAGGCTACACTTAATGCTAACAAACTGAGATAATTGTTGGAAAATATAATGCTAGGAGCTATCCATTTCCAAAAACCAACGTAAAGATAACATAGGAAACACTATTCCAAGTTTTGTGAGCCTATCCCACATCACTTACTCGTATTTAAAGTACCTAGTCGAGCTTTTCTGCCAGTCTATTCTTGTTCAGTGTCCTAGCTTGGAAGGAAAAAGTTTGGAAAAGTTGCCTGGGAACTTTATTTTGGTTAGAAGAGCAAGGGGAATATCGATTGGTGGGTTAGGATATGCTGCTATTATAGTGTCATGCAATAAAGGGTGGCTTTGGGAAGTTCGTTGGTTATGCTGCGGAATAATAACTGAAGGGGCAGTACATTTCAATTTAGCTTGTATAGTATCTTTTTACCTCTGTAGTTTAGGTATTACTCTAGGTCATGACTCATGAGCAATTTGAATAAGTTAGGAATGGTTTCGGGTAATGGGCACTACTGAATGGTATTTGTTTGTCGGGCATGGGTTTTGAACTAGGTCCAAGCTATTATCTACACTTGGGGACAAGCACGGAAAGTTCTAAGTGGTGTGTCTTAGTTGGATACCTACACTTCTCAGATACTCTGGGAAACACGTCAGATACCTCTTGCCTTTCTCCACAATTAAAAAATAATATATTAATATCATAATTTTGACACACTGGATTCTCAAAAAAATGTCATTTCTCTGTCCAATAATTAGTGACTGTGTCCTTTTGTGGATGTTTGAAAATTTTAGTCCCATTCAAAAAGTTCATGTACAAATATTTTTTAATATTTCAATTTTAACTTATATGTGTCCAACTTTGAAATCAAAGTGGGTGGCAAGGTCAAAAATTTGAATCAATTTAGAGGATATTTTTTGAAAGCCAAAGATTCTTAGTACAAATAATTATATAAAATGCATCTCCTTGAAAGTTGGTTTTCCAAAAGGCCTATAATTTTGGTATCTAGGGAGTAATAACAAAACTTGAAAGTTGGAATATGGAACTTTTTTAGCTTGGAAAGAAGAATGTTTTTAACAGCATTGGAGGTTAATTTCTGTATAACATTCATTTGAAAGTGACACCATATTTTGCAAGCAAAAATAAGGAACATGAAGGTTAATATCAAGGAATGGGCATGTGAGGATTAAAGGAAGCATCAAAATTATGTATACTTTCTATGCTTAGGCTATATTATTTACTATAATTCATAAACTCAATAATTTATGTTACATCCACAGATTTAAGATTTATGGATTGTATGGCNATGGGCATGTGAGGATTAAAGGAAGCATCAAAATTATGTATACTTTCTATGCTTAGGTTATATTATTTACTATAATTCATAAACTCAATAATTTATGTTACATCCACAGATTTAAGATTTATGGATTGTATGGGAATGTTTGTAGTGTTCTGTGTAATAGTGTATATTTGATAACAAATGTTTTATTACTTGTGAGCCTATACTTAGTTGTTAACATTTTCCAGATGTGTCTTTGCCTTCTTTTTAAGGGAACTTATAGTGTTCTGCCTTGTTTATATCCTTGCTTTGTAGCTTAGGGGATCAAAGTATATTCGGGTAAGAATGAATTACTTGGAGGCGAAGTTTACCATGTTCGCTTACAGTTATGTATCTAACAGAGAATGAGTGAAGAGTTTTGGAGAAAAAATTCAGGTTTCTGTGGTTCCTTTAGTTCTTCTTCTCTCTTTGCAACCCCATAACTCATGGATGTGATCCATACTACACTGGGAATTACAAAGTTTGCTGTAAAACCACATTTATTATAAGCTTTAGCCTTTATCCGAGTGTTTTGTTGGTATCTTTGGATTCTCTATTCTGGATTACATCAGGTTTATTGAAGTAGAATTGTACTTGTGTTTCATTTTAATTGATTTGGAGACATGCTTGGAAGAGGAAGAGTGTGTGCTAAAGGTGTTGAGAAGCACGAGGGTGATTGGGTTAGTTGGCTGCTGTGGAAGGCGAGAACCTCACGTGGTTGGCGTTCAGAAAAGCATTTGGAGATGTTGGGGATACTATTCCAAATGTAACATCTGTGTGGTAGGATATTGTAAGAATGCGACACAAATATGGTTTTTTTTTTTTGGGGTGGGAAGGGGGACTCCACAAAGGAGTCTTTTAGAGATCTGATTATGTTGGTGGCATGACGGGATGCCCTTATAGTCATTTCGATTATTTTTGGGGGCTGTGTGATGTGGACTCCAGGATTGACAGGCTCTTTCAAATTTGAAGGTTGTTGTTAATTGATGTATGTGAGGGTTATGGGGAGGTTGAGGGCACATTCAGGTGGATAAGTGACGCTGATCAGTCCCTTAGTGATGATTGGGAGGTTGCCCTTCCTTGGAACGACACCTGTTGCATGGAGCCCTCCTGAAGGTGGCCCCCCCCTTTTGTGTGGATTACGGCTTTGACGTCATATAGACCTTGTGCAATTAGAGGCATAAGTGTGATATATTAATTGATTGGTGCTGTAGGTATGGAGACATCGGCCGTCTGCTTTCACTCGGTGGAGTGGCCATGGAGTTTTGATCCATGTTTTTACTTGCATGGTTATGCCTAATTCAGTGCAGTCTTTATTATGGAGCTGGAGAGGATGTAGAATTCAAAAGAGAGATAGAAAGGCTCTGGATGCTACGCCGTTTTGCCTTGTTTAAAGCCTAGGTTAGTAATAGGAGATTTTTTGAGGAGAAGAGCTTGCAATAAGTAGGCTCGAGTATTATCTTTTGACCAGTAGAAATTGATTGCTTATGGCTGTGGATTTCCTTGTCCTGGGTCTATAATTGTGATGAAGGTTTTGAGATTCAAACCATTCCTGCTACGTAGTGTAGCAGCCACTATGTAATGTTAAAGGCTTCAATACAAGGTTAATGGAATGAGCATTCCTGTGTCGAGCTTGAAAACCTTCCTTATTGCCCTGTGCTTCATATGGATATGTTGACTTACTTATTTTACAAGTCAGAAACTGAACATAAACAAAGTCGTTTATTATGAAATTGTCTTCATAACAGTGGATTTGGTATGTAATACACCAGTCTCTAGCCTGCCCTGGAGTAGGGCCAGAGACTTCGTTCAGCTGTATGGTCGAAAAACATCATTAACTGCATGAATGGATGCTGTAAAGGAGAAGTTGAAATAACTTGAATAAACAACGTTAGAATTTTGAAGGTCTACCTATTTTGTGATCAGATTTTAAAAGTGGAAAGTAATTCCTCAGTAGTAGGTATGTAGTGCTCTGTGATTACAATTGATATTCTTGCGATTTGAATTGTGTTGTTTTGATCAATAGTCTTGTAAGAATACTATTATTCTCTCTCTCTCACCCCACCCCCCAGGGGGGTTCCCCTGCTCTTGTCGTTTTGTTTGTCCTTTCCTGATTAATAATGGATTTGTTCCTATTGAACTTTGTCTGAATTCTGAGAGAGGCAATATCTTCCTCCTCTCCTTCTACTTGGCAGCATTGTCTAACACGTCAGTTGTGGTTCCTGCTTAACTTGTATCTTTTGCAGGTCAATGAGGGGAAATATGCTCATGCCATATCCATCTTTGACCAGGTTGAATACTTCTTCTAGCTTTAAAGTTGTTCTCATGATCTTGCTTTTGTCTGAGTTTGAAATATGGCTTCAGGATCCCTTTCTTTACATTATATCAACACTTTCATAAAACTTCTTCCTCTTTCGTTACACAGATTCTAAAAGAGGATCCTACTTATCCTGAGGCACTAATAGGAAGGGGAACAGCATATGCATTCCAACGAGAACTTGAGGCTGCTATTGCTGATTTCACAAATGTATTTAATGCTCCAAGCTTTTATGCATATGTCAAATATTTGTACTTCTTGTGATAAGAAATTCTTGTGACTGACATTCTAGGCTATTCAATCAAATCCATCAGCTGGTGAGGCGTGGAAACGGAGAGGGCAGGCCCGAGCGGCCTTGGGGGAATCTGTTGAGGTAAAATGCCTCCATCTTATTCTTTGAATTCTACTATCTCTAACGATGCTAAAATGATTATTCATTACTGTGGGAGTATGTCTGAAATCAATTTTCTTCGATGCTTCTGATGAAGTATTCTCGTGAACCTCCATAAAGTTTATGAAATCAATTCTATCATCAAGGTAATTGAGGCTCCACATCAATAAGCTTTTATAATCCTATGGTCTTGCCCTCAATATTTTATTTTGATGACTTAGACAACAGAAGGCTTAAGAAGGAGGAAGTTTGAAGAAGAGAGAAATTTGGGAAATTGCTTCGATTTCAATATGAATCTATGGAGGTTTTTAAAAGAACTTAGTGCCATTGCCATGTTCTAATGAAGTATTTGTTACTAGACTTAGGCTATACTAGAGTTTTAAGTGTGAATTTGGAGGTATTTGATAATTCTGTTTTTGAGCTGTATAGTGGGCTGCCATATTGGGATTACTTTTAAGTGTTTTGGGTTAGGTTTGACGAATCTAGTGGGCACAGAAATTGTTCATATTTTTGTCTGGCTTCCCATTAAAATAGGAGGGGATGCTGTTATTGAAGGCTTTTTGAAATTGGGATTCATTGATTCCTATGGTTAATGCATCTCTATCTCTCTGTGTGTCCATAGACTGCTTGTTCTTAAACAAAATTAATACATTCATTGCTGCGGAATATCTTATTACCTCTGGTAACCAGGCAATTGCTGACTTAACCAAGGCGTTAGAGTTCGAGCCAAACTCAGCCGATATATTGCATGAAAGAGGTAATTTTTTTAAACTCGAGCTTTCATCATATTTAACACCACATTTGCCTTCTCTTATAGCAAGATATAACTTCCATGTTTGATGTTGTGATATTTGAAACAGCTTCTTTACTACTGTTGATTACATGCAATTTCTTATAGTTTCTCAGCCTTCAGTACTTAGACACAGATGTAGGTGATGGTGTCCATTAGAGGATAAGTTATAGGAACAAAACTTGGATATTTTAAATTAACTAGGGGAAGCTGTTATATATCTATAAATTATATAGTAGACGCATGTGGGTCATGCTGGGGACAGCCAGAGTTTTGCTACTTGGTTGTTGTACAGGAGGAGGTGAGAGGAATGCAGCAGACGGCGCCTCTGTTTCATTTTGGTGTATTAGGTGAGAAAAAAGTAAGAGAGTCCTTGAGGAGAGGACTTGCCTGTGATAGAAGTAAAGCAATNGGTGGGGACAGCCAGAGTTTTGCTACTTGGTTGTTGTACAGGAGGAGGTGAGAGGAACGCAGCAGACGGCGCCTCTGTTTCATTTTGGTGTATTAGGTGAGAAAAAAGTAAGAGAGCCCTTGAGGAGAGGACTTGCCTGTGATAGAAGTAAAGCAACTCTATGTTTTTCTTATTTGTTCTTGTAGAGTCCTTTCCTGGCTCTCTGAGTAATTTATAGTTATTAGGGAGATGTTATCTGATTTAGCTACAAGTTTTTTTGTTTACTATGTGTGTCAGCAGCTTAACTTTTTTTGGCACTTATAGTGATTTTCATTTTTTGTATTGAAAAAATGAAGATTGTGGGGANAGATGTTATCTGATTTAGCTACAAGTTTTTTTGTTTACTATGTGTGTCAGCAGCTTACCTTTTTTTGGCACTTATAGTGATTTTCATTTTTTGTATTGAAAAAATGAAGATTGTGGGGATAGAAGTAGTATTTTATGAATGACCTTGATAGCATCAACAACATGCTGGTTTACTGTGGCCATGTAGTGGTATCAAGTATATGTGAATGTGCATCATGTAAAAGCAAAAGTATGATAATTCTTATGCATATCACAGTAGAATGCAAGGTAAGTTCCATGGCATGCANTCAACAACATGCTGGTTTACTGTGGCCATGTAGTGGTATCAAGTATATGTGAATGTGTATCATGTAAAAGCAAAAGTATGATAATTCTTATGCATATCACAGTAGAATGCAAGGTAAGTTCCATGGCATGCAGTTGCTCATGAGGAGAGAATAAATGCAGGAATAGTTAACTTCAAGTTCAAGGATTTCAATGCTTCAGTTGAGGATCTATCCATCTGCGTAAAGCTTGATCAGTATAACAAATCTGCTTACACATACTTGGTGAGTCCATGACATCAAAAATATATTCTGCAGTTCACTAAAAAATTAAGTTGATCCAGTTCATGGACTTTGTGTTCTGAACTTATTGTTTTGTGATTTTTTAAATTCAAATAGGTTATTTTTATGTGTTGATTGAGGAAATTACAGGGTTTAGCACTATCTTCAATTGGTGAGTATAAAAGGGCTGAAGAGGCGCATATGAAATCAATTCAAATTGATCAAAAATTCCTAGAGGCATGGGCTCATCTAACACAGGTATCCATGGATATATTGTTAATGTCGTTCTACTCAATAGTGTCCTATGAATTGTTCTGTGATTTGGAGCTGAATTCTTCACCTAGAAAGGTGTGATAGGAAATTTGAAGATATACAACACACTTACTTCAATGCTAACTGCTGAACACAACAAGCCATAACCATTGCTTTATTGCAAGGCTTGTGAACTGTGCCTTCTAACAGCTAAGCACTGGAAAAAAATGGGCTTCCTACTTAGTCCTGTCTTTATACATAGTATTAATCTCCAGTCTTGCAGATGTAAAACCCTTACATTCAGTTGAATCCATGATGATTCCATTGTTCATCTAAGCCTAATCCCTTATTGGTTTTGGTCTTTGTCATGTCATTTATGGGCTTCCAATATTCTACATGGATCAGGTAGTGTCTCTCATTCTTTTACTGAACAGTCTGCACTCACCATAATGAAATCATCTTTTGAGCATCTTAACATGTCCTTTGTATGTTTGGCCCTCCCCAGATCCTGCGATGCTGGGAGTCTCGTGCGCTGGCCGCACTTTGTACTTTTCTCGATCAATGTTCATTTAAATCGTCATACTGATTTTTCTGATCTGAAGTTCTTGAAGTCTACTAAATTCTTAGTTAGCGTCAGTTTTTGGGTTTCCTGTTTTTGTTTTGACTATGTCCACCATTGATAGTTGTGTGCCATTTCTGTTATGGGATGAGTAGGTTTCAATTTTTTGAATCCTTTGGTCATTATTTTACCAATTAATTGAACAATCCAGATGCTGAAATGTTTTGTGCATGCTTTTCCAAGTTGGGCAATTCTATGAACTTGCATGTCTAGATTTGTTACCTTTTTGATAACCCTTTGTATTTGGTATGAATTTTATCTCAATTTTGTTACTAGGCAAGTAGTTTAAATATGTTGAGGTGAAATCTTTGATTTGGTGGCAGTTCTATCAAGATTTGGCAAATTCGGGTAAGGCTTTGGAATGCCTTCAGCAGCTTCTGCAGATTGATGGAAGGTATATGTGATGGACCTCTGTTATTATGTTGATGCCATGGTTTACACCAATGTGATCCTGCTTGATTCCAAATATGATACATATTCTCTGATGATTGCATTGGAGTTATATGTGATATTCTTAATGCCCTTTTTTCTATAGGTTTGCCAAAGCTTATCATTTGCGTGGACTACTTCTCCATGGGATGGGAGAGCACAGGTAATCTGTCTATGAATTTGTCCACCATATTTAGTTTGTTTGATTGCAAGCTGATGCTGTCGGCAATGCCTCTGTGAATAGCCTCTATGATTGGCATTGAGCATATAGGTATTGGGAAAAGTGAAAAAGCAATCTGTGATTGTAAGAACCCAGCAACGGTTCAACTGGAGATAACCAAAACTGTTACGGTGTTTTGTGATACATGTGGGGACCTTTTTATTTGAAGCCTCCCTTGTGCTTTCAAAATTTTCATTTAAGGAGGTAATTGTTGATTGGTTAAAGGGCAATTCTTGCAGTGCCGTTCATCAGGTTAGACAGCAAAGAGGAGAATAGCGTGCAGAAACTTTGAAGGGGTTGAAGTAGTCATGAGGTGGACTTTTATGTCATTCTGAGGTGGCCAACCACTTTCAGATAGAATGACATTTGCTTTACGTTCTTTCCTGTTTTCTTGTACACTACTTTTGAATCCTTTATTTTCCCAAGTCATCATCCATATCCACTCACTCTTTATCCTATCCAAGGCAGACATTCCCCAACCCCAGATTTCCCCCCATCCATCTCTAAATTTTTGAAACACACCACCTTAGATGATTTTTCAGGCCAACAAGGCCCACATGATGAACTTGTATTGCCATCGAACCGTAAATCATGGTTAGGACATACCTGATGGCTCACCGCATTGGGTCCAACTGCCTTCTCAAAAAAAATCCCCCTCTCCACTAATAGACTGAGCAACTACTGAATTCCCATCCTAACTGTCCATAGCATCACCATTGTTCCCAGTAGTAGAATCTTTGTGATCAGAACTCTGGTCTATTGCAAATCGCACTTCATTGATATTGAAACAACCTTCTTCTACTTCATCGATCATCTCAGAATCAAGGAGGAGACTGTTGACATCATCAAACAACTCTCCTTTTTTCTAACCCATTGCATCAATAACTTCAATATTCTGAGAGGACTGATTCAATTGCCCAGTATCTAAGTTCCATAGCAACTCTTTAGAGTGACTTTCTCCATCCCTGATAACCTGCTTCTGGCTCGAGTGTTCCCTACGTGTGACACCCCCGTCTTTGTTCCTCGTCACATAGAGCTGGGAAGCCCTAGCCCTTTCCTCCGACGAATTTCCACTAAAAAGCTGTGGGTGATTCTTTGATGGGCCGGGGCCATGGGTCCACGAAATTTCCACTAAAAAGCTTGGCTAGCATCCCTATTTATTATTTGGCTTTGTTTAAAATCCCTAGNACTGCCTTCTCAAAAAAAATCCCCCTCTCCACTAATAGACTGAGCAACTACTGAATTCCCATCCTAACTGTCCATAGCATCACCATTGTTCCCAGTAGTAGAATCTTTGTGATCAGAACTCTGGTCTATTGCAAATCGCACCTCATTGATATTGAAACAACCTTCTTCTACTTCATCGATCATCTCAGAATCAAGGAGGAGACTGTTGACATCATCAAACAACTCTCCTTTTTTCTAACCCATTGCATCAATAACTTCAATATTCTGAGAGGACTGATTCAATTGCCCAGTATCTAAGTTCCATAGCAACTCTTTAGAGTGACTTTCTCCATCCCTGATAACCTGCTTCTGGCTCGAGTGTTCCCTACGTGTGAAACCCCCGTCTTTGTTCCTCGTCACATAGAGCTGGGAAGCCCTAGCCCTTTCCTCCGACGAATTTCCATTAAAAAGCTGTGGGTGATTCTTTGATGGGCTGGGGCCATGGGTCCACGAAATTTCCACTAAAAAGCTTGGCTAGCATCCCTATTTATTATTTGGCTTTGTTTAAAATCCCTATAAAAATAGCATCTGTTAGAGTTCTTATTTTTTATTGATGAAGATAGCATTGTAATTCTCATAATATCAAGTTTAGTATGAATAACAGAGTGCTGGGCAACTTAGCTCACATGACGGATTATTTTCTTTCTCCTCTTTGTCTCAATCTCCTCTCTCTTTTTCTTACAAACCTAATATCATATTTACTAATTCAACTTGGAATCAGAGCCTGATTCGACACTACATAGTATTAGAGAACATTGTATGAGATTTTTGGACGTGTTTCTGTTTGCTGACGTTACTGTCAGTGATGACTTCACGCTGTCATCATCATCCTACAGACACAAGATGACCACCTCCAGGTTCGAAATCTTCTTCTGAGTATTATGGGATTTTTGTGTATTTTTTAGAAGCCTTCTNACGAATTTCCATTAAAAAGCTGTGGGTGATTCTTTGATGGGCTGGGGCCATGGGTCCACGAAATTTCCACTAAAAAGCTTGGCTAGCATCCCTATTTATTATTTGGCTTTGTTTAAAATCCCTATAAAAATAGCATCTGTTAGAGTTCTTATTTTTTATTGATGAAGATAGCATTGTAATTCTCATAATATCAAGTTTAGTATGAATAACAGAGTGCTGGGCAACTTAGCTCACATGACGGATTATTTTCTTTCTCCTCTTTGTCTCAATCTCCTCTCTCTTTTTCTTACAAACCTAATATCATATTTACTAATTCAACTTGGAATCAGAGCCTGATTCGACACTACATAGTATTAGAGAACATTGTATGAGATTTTTGGACGTGTTTCTGTTTGCTGACGTTACTGTCAGCGATGACTTCACGCTGTCATCATCATCCTACAGACACAAGACGACCACCTCCAGGTTCGAAATCTTCTTCTGAGTATTATGGGATTTTTGTGTATTTTTTAGAAGCCTTCCGAGTAATGTTTTATATTTTCGTATATTTTTCAGAAAAATAGGTTCTATTTTTTAGATCCACTGTTTTTTCGATTTTTTGGCTGGATTAGAACCTGTGGGTACCAATTTGGCCTCAACAGGAGATTCTAGAGTTATCCAGCCCTTATTGGGTTGCTTTCTGGACGGTTTTGTGCAGAAACAGTGCCGAAACCACTTTTTTTGTGGATCTAGGTTGACTGGATCTAGTTCTGGACTTGCTGGATTTGCTCGGTTTTGACTGGATCTGGTTCTGGGTTTGGTGGCTCTGCTCTGTTTTGATTGGTTCTATTGCTGTGAGACTTCTTGGCTGGATTCTTGCTTGGATCTACATCTGGCTGGATTCGAGGTGTTTTTTTGTGAGTAACAAGTACCGCCAGCCCTGGTTTTTGGGTATGGTTGTGTTCGATTTGCTTCAGATTTGATCGATCTGGGTTCTGAGTGTTTATGGGTGCTGCCCAGTGGTATGAGTGTGTTTTTTCGACCCCTTTTTGGCTAATTGATGGTGTCGGCCAGATCTTCTAGCACTGTTTAGTGTATGGGCTCCTCCCAGAACAGTGGTTTTTGGTTAAGAACACTGGGTGTTGGTTTGGCTTTGACTCCTTGTTGTGTTTGAGGCACTCTGGTGTTCGTTTCAGCACCGGGTAGATTTGGTTACTGTGTTGAGGCACTATGGTGCTTGTGGTGTGTAGCAAATCTGATCCTTTTGGCGCAAGTTGGTTATTGTGTGGATCTCAACCTTGGTTTTGTATTTGGTTGTGTAGCCTTGTTTTTGTATTCTCTCCCAGTTCAGCCTTTGTTTGGATTATTTCCCTTCGGACTTGTTCCAAATGGTTGATTTTGCACTCTTAGTGTTGATTTGGATGTTCATAGCTGTGGTGTGTGACTGGTCGTTCTTCTTGCTTGTGTGATTGCTATGTTTGCCATTTTTTTAATGATGAATTAAATAGTGGTAATGGTGGTAGTCGTCATGGTGGTCGTAACTTGCTCCATAACACTAGTCGTGCTGGTTGTTCAGGTAGTGGTCATTGTTCTATGTGGAAGTGCACTTATTGGGGTGGCATAGAACATATTGCGAATTTTTGTTGTGACAAATATGGGAGACATACATATGCTAATGCGGCTTTTCACGATACTTTGGGCTCTCTACTGCATCAGACTTTTACCAATGGTCTAGTTGCATCTAATACTGATTCTCATGAACTTTCTTCTCAGTTTCGTTAGCTTATTCAACATTGATTTCATTTTCTACATATTTATCTGTTCTTGTTAATAATGGTAACTCTACATGTATAGTTGTTCAACCTTCTTCATTATCTTAGATCATTGATTCCGAAGTTAGTGCTCATATGTCTGATACTTTCGTTTGTATAACTCACGTATTGTGTTAGCGGATGACTAATTTCGACCAGTACATGAGACTGGCAATCATAGACCTACTCAATTTATGTCATTAACCTCTGGTTTGCTTGTTCCTAATTTTTCCGTCAACTTATTATCAATGAGTCAGCTAACTAAGTCATTATAGTATTTCGTAACCTTCTTTCCATCCTCATATGTTTTTCAGGATCTTAAGACAAATAAGGGGATTGGTTTGGGACATGAGAAAAATGGCCTACTACTTAGATCCTGGTGGTTCTATTCATGCCTTGAGTGCTCTTATGTCTCCTCTTTAGTGACACTTCTAATTTGGTCATCCCTCATTGCAAAAATTATGGCAAGTTATTCATGGTTTAGGTNTGTATCGTAACGTATCGTACGATACGTATCGCGTATCGTACGATACTAACAACTTTGCTTCTAGTCGTTNTAGGTCATTCTTCTGTGTTAGAATGTAAGGTTTGTCAATTAGGCAAGTATCTCCATAGTTTTTTCCTCCTNGTCATTCTTCTGTGTTAGAATGTAAGGTTTGTCAATTAGGCAAGTATCTCCATAGTTCTTTCCTCCTAGTTCTTCTAGTCGTCAGTCTAGTTCGTTTCATGTTGTTCATACAGACACTTGTGGTCCAACAAGAGTTAAAAGTATTTGTGGGTTTTAATATTTTGTAATATTTATTGATGATTTCTCTTGTACGATTTCAGTTATTCTTTATGAAAGACCGTTCTTAATTACCCAAGGTCTTTACCATCTTTCATAATGAAATTCTGACTCAGTTTGATGTTCACATTAAATTTCTTCTTCGGTCTGACAATACCTTTTACTATACTTAATCATTTATGAAAATTTTTGTGCGACCGTCCATCAAACCACATGTCCTCATACTTCCCAGCAAAATAGTGTTGTCAAACGTAAGCATTGCCATTTGTTAGATGTTGTCCGGACCTTGATATTTAACATATATATGCCAAAATCATGTTTGGCTGATATTGTTTTTATTTCAATTTATCTTATTAATCACATTCTTTCCCTCGTTTTGGTCAATAAATCTCCTTTATCGTTGCTTTATTTTGATACATCGCTATTTGATCTTACTACTTGTGTCTTTGGTTATGTTGTATTTGTTCATCTTCTTGGTTTTGGTGGGAAAAACTTTCGCTTTGTTTGGTTAAGTGTGTCTTTTTCTGATATTTTTATACTCAAAAAGGTTATCGGATCCCATTTCTTGTTGATACTATGTTAGTGCTGATGTTATCTCTTTTGAATCTTCTTCTTACTTTTTTGTGTCAGGTGATACCCTTCTCCCAAGGAGAGATCTTGTTGCCTATTGTACTATATTGTGTATCTTCTTTCTCTCCAAGCTCTATTCCTCTCTTATAGGTTTATCATTGTTCTAACTTCTAAGGACAGATTGGTTGTTCCATATGTTCTAGCTTTGCGTCCATTACATGATTCTTCTGAGATCCTGCCCCCTTAGTCGTCAGCTAGTTCATTATCTTCTAATTTGCCTATTATATCGAGGAAAGGTACCTGTAATTGTACAAAACATCCTATTTTTAATTTTTTTTCTTTGCATCGACTTTGTCTTAGGTATTTGTTTCTAGTTCTTTGAAATAGGCATTAATATTTTCCCGTTGAAAATTGGTTATGCATGAGGAATGAAAGTCCTTCATAAGAATCAGACATGAGACCTTACTACTCTCCCTTCTGTTTACTAGCCTGTCGGTTATCATTGAGTTTAAATAGTGAAGTATCATCTTGATGGTTCAGTTGAACATTTAAAGGCCTATCTGGTTACCAAAGTTTATATCCAGACATATGGTGCCGATTATNTTTACTAGCCTGTCGGTTATCATTGAGTTTAAATAGTGAAGTATCATCTTGATGGTTTAGTTGAACATTTAAAGGCCTATCTGGTTACCAAAGTTTATATCCAGACATATGGTGCCGATTATTGTGAGAATTTCTCTTTGGTTGCCCATTTTAACTCTGTTAGAGTTCTTATTTTTGTTGCATTAAGTGGTGATTGACTTTTGTGATCAATTGGATATCAAGAATGTTTTTTTATATGGAGACTTACAAGAAGAGGTACATATGGTACAACCTATAGGTTATGTTGCATCTGATAAGGAACAATTAGTGTGTCGTTTGAAGAAAGCACTATATAGCCTGAAACAATCACCACGTATTTGATTTAATAAGTTCAGTACTATAGTATTTCAATATAGTTTTTNCCTATAGGTTATGTTGCATCTGATAAGGAACAATTAGTGTGTCGTTTGAAGAAAGCATTATATAGCCTGAAACAATCACCACGTATTTGATTTAATAAGTTCAGTACTATAGTATTTCAATATAGTTTTTAGCGTTGTACTTTACACTATTCAGTTTTATTTGCTATTTGTCCACATATGTTATTATTTTTATTGTGTATGTTGATGATATTATTATTAACAGTGATAACTCAGATGGTATTGCCCACTTCAAGTCCATTTGGGACAACAGTTTCATACAAAAGATTTAGATATTCTTTGATAATTTTTTGGGATCGAGGTCGCTCAATCGAAAGATTGTATTAGGTTCTGCCAACAGAAATATGTATTAGATTTATTATCTAATATTGAGATTCTTTGTGCACGTCTAACTGATAATCGTATGGACTCTACAGTTAAGTTAGATGCTAAGAGTGGTGAGGATTTGGATGATATAGGGTGCTATTAGAGGTTTGTTAGTAAGCTGATTTATATTATAGTTGCATGCCTGATATTACCTATGTTATTGGTTTGGTTAGTTAGTTCATGCACGCTTTTCGTAAGCCCCATTGGGAGTCTGTTTGTAAGCCCCATTGGGAGTCTGTTTGTCTTATTCTTCAATATCTAAAAGAAAGTCCTAGGAAAATGATTATTATGTCATCCTTCATTATCCATGACTGTTACTGGTTTCTCTAATGCTAATTGGGCAGGTAGTTGTCTCGATAGACGATCTACCTTAGGTTATTATACATTTGTTGGCCGGAATCTTGTTATTTAGCATAGCAACGAATAAAATGTGATTGCTCATTCGAATGCAAAGGCTGAATACTTAGCTATGGCTCATATTTGTGTATGAGATGATGTGGATTTGTTCTCTCCTTCATGATATGGGTATCGATGTGCCATGTCTATGGAGATGCATTGTGACACCTAGACAACTATTTTCATTGTCAACAATCCATTATTTCATGAGAGGATGAAGCACATTGAAGTGGATTGTCATTTTATTTGAGATCTCTTGATGTATTAGAAGATTATCACACCATATATCAAGTCTAGTGATCAGCTGGGTGACATCCTTACTAAAAACTACAGGCTCGATTTGTCTTCAATAATCTTTACTCCAAGGGGGACATCTTTGATTTTAATTCTCCAGCTTGAGGGGGAGGTTAGAGTTCTTAATTTTTAGTAAAGAAATACCTATTGTAATTCTCATAATATCAAGTTTAGTATAAAAAATAGAGAATAAGGCAACATAGTTCACGCGACATATTATTCTTTTTCTCATGTTCTCTCAGTCTCTTATCTCTTTTTCTTACAAACCTAATACCACATTTACTAATTCAACTGCATCTTTGATTAAAAAAATGGAGAGACTTTTTGGGAGAAGGGAGTGGGGAAGGAAAAAAGAATCACCTTGTTAGGTGAGAGGTGGTGTCAAAGTCTAGGATTAGAAAAGGGTTGGTGGTGAGGAATTTGCTTAATAAAAATATTACTTGGTTAGGAACGTGGTTATGGAGGTTTCCACTTGAACATGGGTCGTTGTGGCATTCTGCTGTTGTTAAGAGCAAACATAGGTTAGGGCTCTTGTCGATGTCCTTGGAAATTTATATCATTTGATCTAAATGGTTTCGGGGATTATGTTAAGGTGGAAGTGAGGAATGGTGAGATAACTTGTTTTGGGAAGATTTTTGGATTGGGGATTCTCCTTTTGCTTTGTCTTCTCCTAGATTGTTTAGGTTGTCCCGGTTTCATAATGTGTCCATTGCTAGTTTGTATTGTGCTCATGGGGGCTGGAGTTTTAATTTCTTTAGGGTCTTAAATGAAAGGGAAATTCTAAAACTTTATTCTTTTTTGTCTTTTACACAATTGGGATAAAATGGTGTGGGTCCTTGAGTCATCTACTGTTTTTTCTTACAAATCTTACTTTCATGCAATGATTGATAACCTATTTTCTTCAGTTTTTTAATCTAATGAGATGATTTGGAAGGCCAAAGTGCCTATCAAGTTACAAATTTTTGGATGGACTGTAGTTCATGCAAAGCTCAATACTTGTGATTTATTGCAAAGGAGAAGGTTGATCTCTCGTCTTTCTTCCCATTGGTGTGTGATGTGCAAAAGATAGTGTGAAAGTGTAACTCTTTCTCCAATGGCCAGTGGCCTCGATGATGTGGTATAAAGCGCTTTGGGTGTTTAGTTTGAGTTGAGTTTTCCCAAAAAGATGTGTTGATTTACTTGTGACATCCTATGGGCTCTTTGGAAGAAAGAAAATATCCTCTATTTTGTGGGAGTGTGTGGTTATGACTGTTTTTTTGGGTGGTATGAAAGGAAAGGAAAGGAAAGGAATTAAAGAATCTTTTTGGATAAAAAAGAGTGTAGAGAGATGTTGGATAGAGCATAGTATTTGGCTTCTCTTTGGGCATCAATTGTGAACGAGTTTAAGGATTTTTCTTTGCATGCCATCAATATAGATTGGATAAAGGCTTGTAGTTAGATTAATTTTCCTTGAGTTTTTTACTTGGTTTTTCCCGATGTATTTTTCATTTCTGTTGAGTCTTATTGTGGACTCCTTGCCAAGTAAAATGTACCCTTTATATTACTTTCAATGAAAGTTTTGTTTCCATCAAAAAAGGGTAGAGCTCCAGTAGTCTTCATTGCAGTATGTGGAAATATTTTTTGCATTTAACATATCACTAATTATGTTGAATCTTATTTGTTTTTAACCACAAAATTGGATGGAGTTTATGCATGTGGAGTCTAAACCAGGGGTATATTTTTTCGCACTTCCCTAATATTTTATCATAATTGGCTAGAACTATGAGTTTATTGCTTCATTACCATCGTCTTTTCATTTTCCATTTGATTTTTATGTTTTGATAAAAAATAACAATTTTATTAACAACTAAAGAAAGTGTAACAAATCCAATCAGAGGTGGACAAGTTATCTAACCCACTCAAAATTGGATGTCATCCAAGTTCAAGAAAACACAAAAACACTACACAAAGTCATTAAAGTAAAAAATACAATCCATAAGAAGCTGTCCAGCTTGCATTAATGATAAAAAGAGGAATATTCTCAAACTCTCTAGTCACAGATGCTCGTAATGAAGCCAAGAAGTGTAACCAGTCCCATAAACATTCAACTTCTTCCTTCTAATCTTAAAAATCGCATTTCACTCCGTCCATATCACCCAAAGGAGGGCCAAAAAAAAAACACTGCCAAAGGTTCTTACCTCTTGAACTTCCTCTCAAACCCCTAAAATCCACACTCCACGAAGTGCAAACAATCTCAAACAATATATTCCATAACGAAAGTGTCAAGGGGCAGTACAAGAATAAATGATCCACAGTCTCACCATCACCACTGCACATAACGCACTACTGCTGTGAAATACAATGCAGAGAACTTCTTCTTTGAGGCACATCATTAGTATTAATCTTATCATGCACAATTTGCACCTTTAAAGGCACTATTGGAAATGAAGAATCATCAATTAAAAACTCAAAATAAGATTTACAAGAGAAAACACCAAAGAATCACTAATCCAAACTCTTCTATCTAAAGAATTTTGTGGCAATGAGACATCATTAAGCATGGAAAGAAAGTCCCAAAACAGTTTCTATGAAATCCCAAATCCCAATTAATCGGAAAAGAAGCCGAAGAAACTAAAGAATCAATGTATCTAACATGATAACGAGTAAGACGGTTAATTAGGTGAAAATTTTAGTCTAACCACCTAAAATTAATTAGGATTTAGGAGTTGAAAAGGTTTTAAGGTTACAGTTTTACAAGTTAGACCAAGGGATCTAGGCCTTAGCGACCAAAAATGACTGAATTGCTTGATTTTCTAGGTGTTTGGGTGTGGAATTTTCAAGCAAATGGTGCAGGAAATTCTGGATAACAGGGGATCTATGGTCCTTTGATACTGAATTGATGGGCAAAGGATTGAGGACTAGGTTAGGATTGGTTGGACAGTGATGAAACAATGGATGAGATTAGTTTCAGAGGCTGTACTGGCACTGTGAACACTAACATGAAAAGTAACCTTGGGCACTAAGGTGTGAGTTTAGGGTTAGGGATGAATATTGAGGGAAGCTGGAAAAGTTTGGGCTTGTTCAGTAAAATTTTACGGTTGAATGGGATAAATTTAAGGTTTGGTTGCAGTTAGAAAGTATGATAAGCAAGAAAAAAAGCAATAAGAATCTAGGAATCCCACCTAATTAGCGAACTAAATCAATGAATATAGGGCATCAACTACTATTAATATCACAATCTTTTATTCTTTGCTCCTTAGCGTTCTAGCNAAAAAAAGCAATAAGAATCTAGGAATCCCACCTAATTAGCGAACTAAATCAATGAATGTAGGGCATCAACTACTATTAATATCACAATCTTTTATTCTTTGCTCCTTAGCGTTCTAGCACTAAGTTCCATTGTTCTATTTTAAGGCACTATTTGATGTTACTGTTATGTCCATTTTGTTTATGCTACTGTGGTGGTGAAAGGTAAGGGTTATGTTGCCTCCTCATCCTCTTCCTCCTCCTCCCTCTTCTTCAAGTTATATTGTACAATATCCTGATGGCATACTCCTTTGTGTTCATCTATCCTGATGGGGCAACTTCTTTATGCTCCTATATGTACTGGCTTTGAAAGGTTTAACATTAATTCCCTGTGGCAGAGTAATTTCTATGTTTTGAGCTATATGTATGCATTTTCTTACCTAATCCTTGGTTAGTTTCTGTGTAGATACACAATACTTCTTTTATTTTCTTTTTCTTTTCTTTCTTTCTTGTTCTGTTTCATTTTTACCTGGTGGCTAACATTATAAATTGAATATTACAGGAATGCTATCGAGCATTTATCTATTGGGTTGAGTCTTGAGACCTCAAATATTGAGTGTTTATATTTACGAGCTTCTTGCTACCACGCCATTGGAGAATTTAGAGAAGCGGTATGGTGGTCTTTACCTAGTGTTCCCATTTGAAAACATTTGGTGTTATGTTTCTTGCCTTTTTTGCTCCCGTTAACTTAATTCTGTTCCTATGGTATAGGTTAAGGATTACGATGCTGCTCTGGATCTTGAGCTAGACTCGATGGAAAAGTTTGTGCTTCAATGCCTGGCCTTCTACCAGGTTCGATTTGATGTTAGATACGGTTTATGTAATTGCTACTTAAAAATAACCATGTCAGGCATCATTGTTCAAGTTCCATCGATGTTATCATCTATGCTTTCAATTATGTTTCTAATTTTTTGTACTCATTATTCAAATTAGCTCTCATTTTGGGTTATACGTAGTTGATGGAACCAAGATCCTCCCACCAAATATTAGATCCATGTTGCATTTTGGTGCAAATCTAAGTCCTTTCAGTCGTTCCTCTCTCAATTCAGTGTGCTGATGACAGATACAATAGTTGACTAGACACATTGGTGCTTGTTGAATATAGATTGTTCTGAAACTGACTTGCAGCAGCTTTCATATTATTTGTGTCACCCATAAATTCTTCATCGCTGTAGCTTTCTCTGTGAATGAGTTCAATATGATGCCTTTTTTAGGTTGATTTCTTTGGCAAATTTCACCCGTCCATGTGCCTTGAGTACAAGGAATTCATAACATATGAACCTAGTGAAATTAAAAAAAAACACGAATTGTTGGAAACTACTCAAGGAATTCATAACATATGAACCTAGTGAAATTAAAAAAAAACACGAATTGTTGGAAACTTTATTTTACAAGCATTATTTTTTTAACAGGAGGCCACTGGTACACAGTTTAAAATTGGGCTTAATAATGTTGATGTTGTGGGTTTGAACCTAAAGACAACCACTTTGTGCAAAATAATGCTAAAGGGTAGGTTTTACCCAATCTATCCCACCCAGTCCTCCATTAAGGGGGCTAAACCAGTTCTTAGTTTAATAATGTTTTTTCATGAAAGAGTAAATAACCAGTTCTTAATACTATCCTGTCTTGTTTGGATTTTTCAAAACCTGAAACTGTTTGCATCAAATCCGCTTTGTTGTCATCTTTTTCTCTTTACCATTGCATATACCCCTTCTAGCCTTTGTTTAAATAGACTAGAGTGAGCCATCCATTGTCTTCCAAAAAATTATAATCCTCAAACCTGTACTTACCATAAACTTAGAGAGGCGTATCGTACGACCTCCTGTTTGATTCTGTTAGCTCATGGCGTTATTTTGCAAGAATCACATAGATATTTGTGACTAATTCAGTTAACCATTCAGTTTCCTTGTGTTCTTTCTTGAGTTCAAAGGTTCTAACTCCGTAATGATGGCACAGAATTTTGATTTATTGGTTTGTTTTCTCTCTTATTTTAAAATAAATATCCTGTAGTCTGTCATTTTGCCCCACCTATAATATTATTCATACAGCACATGTTCTCTCAAGTTTTTAGTTATTAATTCATGGGCTTCCACGTTCTAAAAACTTGTCTCAGCACACATTCTGAATTTTCAGGTGTAGTTGGGGTAAGAATAAATGCTATTAACCTTCTTGAGGAAGGGGAAGTGATATCTTTAAACTGATCCTGCATCAAAACATGCTAATACCTATTATTTCATTGTGAAATATCTAAATCATGTGGTTATTCTAGTTAGGGCTGATACNAATTCATGGGCTTCCACGTTCTAAAAACTTGTCTCAGCACACATTCTGAATTTTCAGGTGTAGTTGGGGTAAGAATAAATGCTATTAACCTTCTTGAGGAAGGGGAAGTGATATCTTTAAACTGATCCTGCATCAAAACATGCTAATACCTAGTATTTCATTGTGAAATATCTAAATCATGTGGTTATTCTAGTTAGGGCTGATAATTGAGCTGAGCTACGTGAACTCGGCTCGGATAAAACTCAAGCTCGAACACCACTCGTGTTTTAAGCGAGGTGAACTTGAACAATTTTTTTGATTCGTTTAGAAAACGAGCCTAAAAACCTCAACTCGAGATCGCAAAACTCAGTTTGTTTATATGTAAAATAGTTGAGCTATTCGGGTTCGGCTAATTTTCTAAATGACCTTAAGTTCAACAATTTTTGAAACTCGTTTAGAAAAACGAGCTCGACCGGCACAGCTCGANCCACTCGTGTTTTAAGCGAGGTGAACTTGAACAATTTTTTTGATTCGTTTAGAAAACGAGCCTAAAAACCTCAACTCGAGATCGCAAAACTCAGTTTGTTTATATGTAAAACAGTTGAGCTATTCGGATTCGGCTAATTTTCTAAATGACCTTAAGTTCAACAATTTTTGAAACTCGTTTAGAAAAACGAGCTCGACCGGCACAGCTCGGTTATCAGCCCTAATTCTAGTGACACGTCCACTTTAACTGGGAGAGTCGAATTCCCCCAACCGACATCCACCCACCAAATTAAAAGGGAAAAACAAACAGATGATGTTTATGAATGGTCAGACAAATCTTGGTCCCAATGCAGAAACATATGAATTTTGTAATTGCCTTCAGTATTGCAGCTAGAGGTTTGGCTGCTAATTGAGGTTAACATTTTAGTTATAAAAAAAAGAGTGCATGTGGAATCCACATCCGGATTGACCAAAGATTCCCAAATTTGGCATCGTCCAAACTCACACCCACACTTTGCTGCTTAGTAGATTCTTATGTCTTTATGCTNCATGTGGAATCCACATCCGGATTGACCAAAGATTCCCAAATTTGGCATCGTCCAAACCCACACCCACACTTTGCTGCTTAGTAGATTCTTATGTCTTTATGCTGACATTGTGGCAAAAAGGCAGATGCATTTAGGAAATAGCCAATTCACTAGTACTACTGTGAATGTAATGTGCAAATGCACGAAGATATATGCACTAAAATGTAGATACATGTTGGGGCATTATACAAAAAAAACACACACACACACTCACATCTTCATATGCACATGTGCATGCATATATGCATGTCTAGCTGTATTTTTATATCTATACAAGTTAGTTTTGTGCAGATATAACCTTTATGCATATCCATTTTATATAAGCTTTTTGGATGCTCAATTCCCCTGCTTTTGACATGCATCCTGACTACCAAGAAGTGAGCCAAATGATATAAACCTTACATCAGTCATAACCATATTCAATACTTTCATCCAATTATAGATACTTTGTGAATTTTATTTTGCATGGTATGGTTTTCGGTATCATCTTTTTTACTTGAACTTCTTGCAGAAAGAAATTGCTTTGTACACTGCTTCAAAGATCAACAGTGAATTTTGCTGGTTTGATATTGATGGAGATATTGATCCCCTCTTTAAGGTAAAATGTGGAATTATAAGTCTCCATGCTGGTAATGTAGTATTCATTTCTTGAACTTCATCTTTGTACTGTTTGATTGTTCATCATTCCTGTAGCAATTGTTGTTTTGTTTTGTAGTACGTCAAGTTTTAATCATGGAATATGAAATTGACACTGATTTTTAAAAGTGATCACCATTGCTTGCTTGTCAATTCATAAAATTTTCTACTGTAGGTGGCGGTATTCAAATGTGAGCCATATCAGATATTGTGGATAAACAATCATTCAGCATCATTCCACTGACCTTGATGAAGAAAGGAATTATAAAGACGGCTGTATAGCCAGCACTCATATTTGTTGCAACATAATATAAAAGCTTGGTAGTTAAAAATTTGCTAATCAATAAAGGAGCATATGCAATATAATAAGAAACTAATTTAACCATGGGAAAGCTAAATTTAGCACAACTGTAAGTTAAAGAGAAGGCCAAAAACATGGCTTTATTGGACGAGTAGTATTTTATCTTCTCGCAAGGCCTGGACTCCTTCGACAATAAGTATCCTGCAGCCGATAATCCCTTTTTGCCTTTTTCTATATTGTAGCAAGGCAATTATCCTATTGGTTCTTACATTTTTTGAGAATTCTGGTGAATCATGTCAGTCCTGACCAAACTTTGAACAGAAGATTGTATGAGAAGACATGGCTAAATTTTATGATTGAAGATTAAAAAATATATATGTGGCCTACTGCCTAAGCTTTTGTAGTTAGGATAAGCTTTGGTAGGCAAGGATACAATTAGTTGAATTGAGGATGATTCATTGATTCAATATCTTTTTGTTTTTTTTGTTTAATATCTGCATTGAATTTTTTTCCTAGTTTTTTTCCTTTTAAATTGTTCTATGTTTCTACACTCTTGGACTCTTTCCACACACTTGCTTAATCGATAAAGCTTGTATATACTTATGTTCTCTTGTTTGATTTGATAACTTGGTATGGGGAAATATTAATAACTGCTGGATATTTGATGTTATAGTGGCTTATGAACAATTTAGTTATTATAATGTAGCAAATGCCATTTAATGTTACAAGTAAGGCTCTTCCCTAGGTGATTTTTAGTTTGGGTGCTACCTACTCCTAAGAAAATATGGCTGGTAAACCACACCAAGTATAGAAGGCTGCCTAGTGGCTGGCAATCTTTCAAGAAGTCAATATTAGGGAATTTTTGGTAATTTTTTCACTGACTGATATTAACCTTGAGCCAAGGACATCTGTTTAGATAACCTTTGCATGAAGCAAAAGTAACCAGCCAGGTAAAATTCTCCCTGGTGTTGTAGGTAATCGCATTTTATAAAACATGTCATACTTAATCCGTGACCTATGGAGCACGGATACTTTGACCTTTTTGAAGTATCCGTGCTCCATAGCTCACGGATTAAGTATGACATGTTTTATAAAATGCAAAATTCTTGACTGGAAGTGCTTCCTGCAGTTAAAGTTTTTTTCTTTTCTATTTCTCTCTCCAATTTGTGTTGATTTTGTGTTCTTATGCCCTTTGGCTCTGTAGGAGTATTGGTGCAAAAGATTGCACCCGAAAAATGTATGTGAAAAAGTTTACAGGCAACCTCCCTTGCGAGATTCTCTGAAGAAGGGCAAGCTGAAAAAGTTAGAATTTCCCGTCACGAAGCAGAAGACTGCTCTTCTACTGGCTGCAGATTCTCTGGGGCAGAGAATTCAATATCATTGCCCAGGCTTCTTGTCCAATAGGCGTCAGGTGATATATAGTAAAAATGTCCTGAGATTTAGGTGATTCTGTTTTAGTTCTTATTTGTGATTTCAATTTTTCACTTCTTATTCTTTGATGAGCAGTTTGTAGTTGTAGCTCCAGTTTGGTAACCTTTTTTGTAGATAATTGTTTCGAGAAAAAAAACAATTGTCAAAAAAGCAAAAACATATTTGGACACTATTTAATAGAAGTGATGTGTGTTACCATTATTTCTTATTTGTGTTTAATTTCTTTCTTTCCAGTTTCCTTTTGTATTGTATCTTCTGGTTTTTCCTTGAATAGATATGACATAGATCCAGGGATATTGCTTGTTGGTAAGGTGAAAACTTTGGCTGCCAAGGGTGGAAATATTGGGTTGAGTTTGAGCGCAGTCTGTGAATACCCGGAGTTAGGTTTTGACTTACCCCTCCCAGAACCCTGGTAACAGGGACCAGTACTGGATATGGCCCCTTAAATGAACCCTATCAATGCTGTCAGCTAAATTGCTCGTTACACCACTTCTGACATAGTATACATGATCAGGATCAATAATGTACTAGTATTATACCTTAAAAATGCTGCTCACAATTAGCTTTATGGTGTGCAAAGATTAAACAGAGCTTTTAACTTTTAGAGTTCTAAAAGTTAGAAGAAAGTATGGAAATTGTGGAAACAACACTTCATGGTTCGCTTTTTAAGCTAAAATGCCAAGTCAATGAAGTCCTCTGGAGTTTTGAAAGGCAGCGGGACAATAGCTTTCTTTGATTCCATTAATAGCAAAATCGTAAGAGACTCCTCCACGTAAAGCATTGCATTGGATTTCAGGTTAATAGAAGCAGTATGCTTTTGGTACAGAAAACTCAAAAGGAAAACTGCTGGAAGAAAGCAAAATCTTATTTTGTAGAGAAAAACAGGTATCTTTTTGGAGTCTCATTGAGCATCCTAGTTCAACCCTGGGATTAAGGATGTGTCACACAATCACTCAAAACATGAAATCCTCAATTTCTTTGTTTTGGTTTTATTGAATTGAAAAGCAGGCATATAGTTGTTTTGTTATTCACAAGGTATGGGTTTAAAATCCATTATGGTTAGCATGCTTTATAGACTATTTATTCCAACAATGAAGAGAAAAAAATGTAAGTAGAATGTGCAGTAACATCGTATTTATAGAGTATTGCATGAATACTCTTCCCAAGCACTTCCATTGCACCAAACTATGGTAATGGCCCCAACAAAGCTAGACACGAATATGTTATTTATTTTTCAGTCAGCGTTTATATTTAATCTGTTTCTTTCCTTCTGACATAAGATCATATTGAGTCAGTGTAGGAATGACATGCCAATAATTTCCTTCCTTTTGGATAATTCCAATTATACGTGCTGCTTTGTTAGTTGGTCTGTTACACTTTGCTAAATTTTATATTGAATCTGACGTTTACCAGCATNCCCCAACAAAGCTAGACACGAATATGTTATTTATTTTTCAGTCAGCGTTTATATTTAATCTGTTTCTTTCCTTCTGACATAAGATCATATTGAGTCAGTGTAGGAATGACATGCCAATAATTTACTTCCTTTTGGATAATTCCAATTATACGTGCTGCTTTGTTAGTTGGTCTGTTACACTTGCTAAATTTTATGTTGAATCTGACGTTTACCAGCATCGTATGGCGGGATTAGCTGTTATTGAGATTGCACAAAAGGTCTCTAAGACTTGGCGTGCTTTGCAAGCAGAATGGAAATCTTCTAATAGAAGTAATTCAAAAAATAGCAAGAAAGCCAGAAGAAAGGAAAAACTCAATGCTCTTATTAGCCAGAATAGAGGTGGTGCTGGCTGTAGTACTAGCAGTTTCTCAGAAACATCAAGTTCTATGGAAGATAGGTCTTTGGTCCGTTCTACGATGACATGGCATGATGTTTATTCCATGGCTGTCAAGTGGAGACAGATCTCTGAACCTTGTGACCCAGTTGTATGGGTTAACAAGCTAAGGTAATTCATCGTGTTTTTTGTACTATCTGGAATAATTGAATTGTTTGGTCAGCTCCATCTGATAATTGACAGTGACCTGATACGGTCTACTAGTTGCCGTGCGATGTACCCCTTTCCAATAAAGACATAGTAATGGTGTTTCTGGTTCATAATTTTAGTAGCAGGGGTTTTCTCATATAAGATACATATTAATGTGAAGGAATATCAATTTATGCATGTTCTAGATTCATTTCCTTCTCCAAGGATATGCCGTTGTAAATCTTGGAAAGGTAGTAAATACACACTGACAAAGCCTTACACATTATTTGAGATCTTGCCCACTTTGGTGGTTAATGTGAATGTTGGTTTCTCTACAATGCAGTGAGGAGTTCATTTCTGGATTTGGGTCTCATACTCCACTTATCCTTGGGCAAGCTAAAGTTGTTCGCTACTTTCCAAATTTTCAAAGGTAAAAGCAGGCAGGCTCTTCTTTTATTGTAAAGCTTAGAAAAATGCTTATTATTTCTTAACTTGCAGAACATTAAACGTTGCCAAGGCAGTCATTAAGGAGAAAAAGTGTGTAAACAGTAAGGAAGACAAAATCATTGATCTGTCTGAAGATGGGAAATTACAAGAAGTGAGTTATACTGCTGTCTGTTCGCGAGACTAGATCTTTTATTCTGTTTACTGTTGCTTTTCACAGACAAATGGGTATTGCTGCCGTTCTTCAAGGAGTTCCTTTTTAATGAGATTTATGATTTTAGTTTTTTTTGAATATTGTATTGCTACATTAGCATAGCATTTGATTTTCATATCATTGAATATTGTTCTTTGAAAGTGTTTTATCCCCCCCCCCCCAAAAAAAAAAAGGCCTATAGTTTATCATCTTTATTTTACTGCTTCCTCTGATAGTTTATCCTTTTTACATTAATTTTTTTGGTGGGGGGCATATTTGTTATTCTTCCCATGTTCTGATTTGATAGGGGTTTGTTTACAGTTGTCTTCCTCTTCATAGAGAAGAATTTATACCTGTAACAGCTTACTTTCATATACAACTTGCAGATAATGGATGCAGAATCGTGCTCCGATCTTCACAGAGTTGTGGGTGAAGACTTCTGGTTGGCTACTTGGTGCAACAGCACAGCACTAGAGGGGTAATTATGTCTAAAGTGTTTCTAGTCCTGTTCATTGTTGTAATGATGTCTGCCAAGTTTTGAAGTTTTGTTGATATTTATTTTGTCCCAAGTTTTGTTTATATTGTGATGTCCTTAGCATTTGGAATTCCATCACGACTTGACTTCATTTGTTCTTGCGCTTGGTTCAGGAGGCGTCTTGAAGGAACAAGGATCACCCTAGTGCAAAAGTATTTCTGATTTTGCTTACATAGTTCAAATTTTGTTTACAGTTTCTTTCCCAATCATTTATGTGAAATTCCAGTTCGATTCTTGCAGGGGAGAAAAAGGATTTGATTTTGCAATTAGAACCCCTTGTACACCTGCTAGATGGGATGATTTCGATGCAGAAATGACAGTGGCATGGGAAGTATGTCTCTCTAGACCTCAAACTTAACCCAAGATCACTTCCTGTGTTCAATTTACTTAGTGAGATTAAAGTTCAAGCAGCCAAATTGGCTGTGTTACATCACTGGTGACCTTGCTTAGACTAGTTTTATGGACTTGGGATCAAGTAATTAACACAATGGAAAGGTATGCATCTGCTGGAAAAGTGATTAACTACAGGCATGCATCAGCTTCAAAAATGCATCGTAGATTCGCTCCTGTCGCTTTCACTTCTCAGTTAAGTGTTCAGTGTTTCACAACTAGTCGAGCTCAAAGATCAAAATTTTGTTTCGATGCATTGTATCGGTCACCTAGGAAACGGAAACGTTTTAACGTGTTTCGGAAACGTTTTGACTTGTTTCGAAAATAAAATAAAAAAAATAAAAAATTTAAGAATTAATTTTCCAAAAATATTGGTCGAAATATACCAAAATACTTTGAAACTTTTCAAAACAATTGTGCAAATGCAATGAAATATTACAAAATTTCTCGTAAGATTATAAAACATCTCGAAGTATTAGAATTTCGATTTTATCACTGAATCGTTTCGGTCTCCTCGGAAATGGAAACGTTTTGGATGTTTCAACCGTTTCAAAACGAAATTTTAATCCTTGGTCGAGCTTTATCTTCCCAAGTCAAGCAGATTACCTACAACATCAAATACAATTCAGACTACTTGAGGTACTCTACAGAGTCTATGCAACCTAGAACTGTTCATTAGGCACAATGGCTTCATCAGAGATGGACAGAGTCTTCCCATCTCGTGTTTTGTCTTGCAATAATTATACCTGGTTACACATCAATATTATTTGGTTAACGTAAGATAATTCTTACCATAAGCATTGATCTATTTGGGAGGACATGGATTCACCTCTTTATTAGGACTATGACCTTCACAAACTTCTGTGTGATTGTCTTTTTCCCACAGCTACATTCATAATCAAGACCTAGAATCTCTCTTTAAATCTTCTCCAAATGCAAGGTCACTAAGCACCAGTGAAGCACAATGCCTGTCAGAACCTTAGATTAAGTTTACATTTCATTTGTAGTCTCTTAATGTTGTTCCAAATTCTGAATGTTGCTCTTTTGAGAGGAGACGACTTTGCTGATTAAAAACATTGATTGGAATCATGCCTAACTTTTGACTGTATCCCATCTGTGTATTCACAGGCTATTTGCGATGCAATAGGTGGTGAAACTTTTGGGTCAACAGATTTCAGTGTGCTTGAAAATGTGAGAGATGCAATACTAAGGATGACATATTACTGGTAAAGCATGTGATTTTCAATGCATGCAAACGGTTTTTCAAGTGGACGTATATTGGAGATGTTTAATCAAAGTGAAATACTTTTCAGGTACAACTTTATGCCACTTTCCAGAGGATCTGCTGCGGTTGGTTTCGTAGTTTTGCTTGGATTATTTCTCGCTGCTAATATGGAGTTCACTGGGAGCATTCCAGAAGGTCTGCAGGTGGATTGGGAAGCCATTTTGAACTTTGATCCTAACAAGTTTGTGGAGTCTGTAAAGAGTTGGTTGTATCCATCTCTCAAGGTCACTACGTCTTGGAAAGCTTATCCTGATGTGGCATCAACATTTGAGACAACAGGATCAGTCATTGCTGCCTTGAGCTCCTATCCCAGAATCCTTACTGAGAGATAAGACATATTCAGAAGCGTAAACATGTTCTTAATCAGTAAGTAGTGAACATTCTTTGGGCATCTGAATGTACCATATGAATAAATTATTACAATTAAATTTTTTTCTTTGGCATTTGACAATCCCACTCGTCATTCAATACTACAAAATCTCGTCAATTTAGAAGACTCTGAACATAAAATAGCATCTGTTCATGATGTCCTGGATGAATATGATTTTTTTTTTTTACGAAGTATCATGTACCAGACGATCATGTGTCGACTGTATCTCTGACTTTAATTTTCGTGCAGAAATTGGGGAGCAAATTACCTGACAATTGGCTTTCTCTTGAGTGGTTTGCTTCGGGAATGTGATACACAAGAGGAAAGTGGTGATCACAACTAATCAGATTCTTTCTCCTACTTACAAGTTTGTGTTGTTGTGCATTATTTTTCAGTACTGCCCATATATAAGAAACCTGTAAGGTATGTATTTTTAGTGTATTTGTATTCCTTCCCGATCTTAGCCAATGCCTTTCTCACGTAGAATGATTTCATAATCTCCGAATAAAAATTCGCATTACTGGTGAATACTTAACATTTTAATTACTTCTTAGAGGTGCTAGTTTTTTTTTTTTTTTTTTTTTTTCAGAAACCCGACCTGAGTTAATTGAATTTGCCTGCTGCTTGAATTTTTGATTCTTGTCTAGTTTGTATCGGGTTTAGTTTCTTAAATTTCTTATAAATGGTTTAAGTTTGACTTGAATTGATGTACCATTGATAATTGAATTGAGCTATTCGAATTTGGTTTGAGTTTAACTTGTTTAGGCTCGAAAATGAGATGAATTTGAATAATTTTTTAGACTCGTTTTAAAAAAAAAAAAGTTTGACAGGACTAATTTATTTATGTATAAATAATTGGGCTTGACTTGTTTTGGATTTGTTGAGGCTCGATTCATTTTTTTAAAACAAATCGAATTTAAACAATTTTTCAGGATCATTTAACAAAACAAACTCGATCGACTCAGCTCGAATTTGTTTGAGTTCGTTCGATTATTAGACTTANAGATTCGCTCCTGTCGCTTTCACTTCTCAGTTAAGTGTTCAGTGTTTCACAACTAGTCGAGCTCAAAGATCAAAATTTTGTTTCGATGCATTGTATCGGTCACCTAGGAAACGGAAACGTTTTAACGTGTTTCGGAAACGTTTTGACTTGTTTCGAAAATAAAATAAAAAAAATAAAAAATTTAAGAATTAATTTTCCAAAAATATTGGTCGAAATATACCANAAACGGAAACGTTTTAACGTGTTTCGGAAACGTTTTGACTTGTTTCGAAAATAAAATGAAAAAAATAAAAAATTTAAGAATTAATTTTCCAAAATATTGGTCGAAATATACCAAAATACTTTGAAACTTTTCAAAACAATTGTGCAAATGCAATGAAATATTACAAAATTTCTCGTAAGATTATAAAACATCTCGAAGTATTAGAATTTCGATTCTATCACTGAATCGTTTCGGTCTCTTCGGAAATGGAAACGTTTTGGATGTTTCAACCGTTTCAAAACGAAATTTTAATCCTTGGTCGAGCTTTATCTTCCCAAGTCAAGCAGATTACCTACAACATCAAATACAATTCAGACTACTTGAGGTACTCTACAGAGTCTATGCAACCTAGAACTGTTCATTAGGCACAATGGCTTCATCAGAGATGGACAGAGTCTTCCCATCTCGTGTTTTGTCTTGCAATAATTATACCTGGTTACACATCAATATTATTTGGTTAACGTAAGATAATTCTTACCATAAGCATTGATCTATTTGGGAGGACATGGATTCACCTCTTTATTAGGACTATGACCTTTACAAACTTCTGTGTGATTGTCTTTTTCCCACAGCTACATTCATAATCAAGACCTAGAATCTCTCTTTAAATCTTCTCCAAATGCAAGGTCACTAAGCACCAGTGAAGCACAATGCCTGTCAGAACCTTAGATTAAGTTTACATTTCATTTGTAGTCTCTTAATGTTGTTCCAAATTCTGAATGTTGCTCTTTTGAGAGGAGACGACTTTGCTGATTAAAAACATTGATTGGAATCATGCCTAACTTTTGACTGTATCCCATCTGTGTATTCACAGGCTATTTGCGATGCAATAGGTGGTGAAACTTTTGGGTCAACAGATTTCAGTGTGCTTGAAAATGTGAGAGATGCAATACTAAGGATGACATATTACTGGTAAAGCATGTGATTTTCAATGCATGCAAACGGTTTTTCAAGTGGACGTATATTGGAGATGTTTAATCAAAGTGAAATACTTTTCAGGTACAACTTTATGCCACTTTCCAGAGGATCTGCTGCGGTTGGTTTCGTAGTTTTGCTTGGATTATTTCTCGCTGCTAATATGGAGTTCACTGGGAGCATTCCAGAAGGTCTGCAGGTGGATTGGGAAGCCATTTTGAACTTTGATCCTAACAAGTTTGTGGAGTCTGTAAAGAGTTGGTTGTATCCATCTCTCAAGGTCACTACGTCTTGGAAAGCTTATCCTGATGTGGCATCAACATTTGAGACAACAGGATCAGTCATTGCTGCCTTGAGCTCCTATCCCAGAGTCCTTACTGAGAGATAAGACATATTCAGAAGCGTAAACATGTTCTTAATCAGTAAGTAGTGAACATTCTTTGGGCATCTGAATGTACCATATGAATAAATTATTACAATTAAATTTTTTTCTTTGGCATTTGACAATCCCACTCGTCATTCAATACTACAAAATCTCGTCAATTTAGAAGACTCTGAACATAAAATAGCATCTGTTCATGATGTCCTGGATGAATATGATTTTTTTTTTTTACGAAGTATCATGTACCAGACGATCATGTGTCGACTGTATCTCTGACTTTAATTTTCGTGCAGAAATTGGGGAGCAAATTACCTGACAATTGGCTTTCTCTTGAGTGGTTTGCTTCGGGAATGTGATACACAAGAGGAAAGTGGAGATCACAACTAATCAGATTCTTTCTCCTACTTACAAGTTTGTGTTGTTGTGCATTATTTTTCAGTACTGCCCATATATAAGAAACCTGTAAGGTATGTATTTTTAGTGTATTTGTATTCCTTCCCGATCTTAGCCAATGCCTTTCTCACGTAGAATGATTTCATAATCTCCGAATAAAAATTCGCATTACTGGTGAATACTTAACATTTTAATTACTTCTTAGAGGTGCTTTTTTTTTTTTTTTTTTTTTTTCAGAAACCCGACCTGAGTTAATTGAATTTGCCTGCTGCTTGAATTTTTGATTCTTGTCTAGTTTGTATCGGGTTTAGTTTCTTAAATTTCTTATAAATGGTTTAAGTTTGACTTGAATTGATGTACCATTGATAATTGAATTGAGCTATTCGAATTTGGTTTGAGTTTAACTTGTTTAGGCTCGAAAATGAGATGAATTTGAATAATTTTTTAGACTCGTTTTAAAAAAAAAAAAGTTTGACAGGACTAATTTATTTATGTATAAATAATTGGGCTTGACTTGTTTTGGATTTGTTGAGGCTCGATTCATTTTTTTAAAACAAATCGAATTTAAACAATTTTTCAGGATCATTTAACAAAACAAACTCGATCGACTCAGCTCGAATTTGTTTGAGTTCATTCGATTATTAGACTTACTCACAATTTCCTCCTTTGGGTAGGATAGGAAATCAGGACCGGCTTAATTGGTTCAATTCTAACTCCAGGGGCTCCCATATTTTTCTTTAGGCTTTCATATTATTGTTTGATATATTTAGGTTTTTTTTCCCGCGAACGGTAGGTCACCCTTGTGCCTCGTAAGTATAATACGAAAGAAAGGAAAAGCAATGTAAAGACCGTTCTTTGCATTTGGAAACTTTGAAATAATGAATAAAAAATAATTGAAATAATAAATGCTTAATTATTGTCCTTCAAATACCTTATTATATTGTTAGATTCAATGAAAAAATGTTATCGCTCCTATCACCGTAGTAACAACTTTGAGGTTTATGATTTGGAGTAAATTTTGTTACAGTAGTAAGATGCCGTTAAGTTTACGTGATATTATCATTCAATAAGAATGTTGTTTACGTGATATTATCATTCAACAAGAATGTCACAACATGGACAAAGTTTTCCATTATAAATATGTGGAATTAATCATTTACTTGTTATATTTTTATTGAATAATTAAACTATGTGACGAGATAATATGACGATACCATTGTAATGAATATTTTATTCATAATTTGTATGATGTTGTGAAAAATAATATTTCGGAGATAATTTAATTTTGAATAAATTGTATTTTATATTTTGAAATATTTAAAAAAAATTATTTTACACCTTCAAGGATAAATTTTTTATTTATATTTTTAATATATCAAAAATATTGTAATGCAATTTTTTTTGATAATTTTTGTTTTTTTTTATCAAAAACTATTCATTGACGTGACATAAGAAAATAAAAGAATTTAATAAACGTGTCGCATTGTAATACTTTTAACATGTTGACGAAAAAAATTTAATTTTTAAAAATAAAATATAAAAATTGTTAAATCTTAAGGATACCAAGTATAATTCTCTCTTTATTTTTTAAAAAAGAAATTGAGCAATCAATCAATAAAAAAAAATTGTTTACCAGACGAGACAAGTAATTAAAGGAAGCTTCAGACATGACACCCCACCTTCCTTTTTCTTCCCTTCCCTNAGATGTTTAATCAAAGTGAAATACTTTTCAGGTACAACTTTATGCCACTTTCCAGAGGATCTGCTGCGGTTGGTTTCGTAGTTTTGCTTGGATTATTTCTCGCTGCTAATATGGAGTTCACTGGGAGCATTCCAGAAGGTCTGCAGGTGGATTGGGAAGCCATTTTGAACTTTGATCCTAACAAGTTTGTGGAGTCTGTAAAGAGTTGGTTGTATCCATCTCTCAAGGTCACTACGTCTTGGAAAGCTTATCCTGATGTGGCATCAACATTTGAGACAACAGGATCAGTCATTGCTGCCTTGAGCTCCTATCCCAGAATCCTTACTGAGAGATAAGACATATTCAGAAGCGTAAACATGTTCTTAATCAGTAAGTAGTGAACATTCTTTGGGCATCTGAATGTACCATATGAATAAATTATTACAATTAAATTTTTTTCTTTGGCATTTGACAATCCCACTCGTCATTCAATACTACAAAATCTCGTCAATTTAGAAGACTCTGAACATAAAATAGCATCTGTTCATGATGTCCTGGATGAATATGATTTTTTTTTTTTACGAAGTATCATGTACCAGACGATCATGTGTCGACTGTATCTCTGACTTTAATTTTCGTGCAGAAATTGGGGAGCAAATTACCTGACAATTGGCTTTCTCTTGAGTGGTTTGCTTCGGGAATGTGATACACAAGAGGAAAGTGGTGATCACAACTAATCAGATTCTTTCTCCTACTTACAAGTTTGTGTTGTTGTGCATTATTTTTCAGTACTGCCCATATATAAGAAACCTGTAAGGTATGTATTTTTAGTGTATTTGTATTCCTTCCCGATCTTAGCCAATGCCTTTCTCACGTAGAATGATTTCATAATCTCCGAATAAAAATTCGCATTACTGGTGAATACTTAACATTTTAATTACTTCTTAGAGGTGCTAGTTTTTTTTTTTTTTTTTTTTTTCAGAAACCCGACCTGAGTTAATTGAATTTGCCTGCTGCTTGAATTTTTGATTCTTGTCTAGTTTGTATCGGGTTTAGTTTCTTAAATTTCTTATAAATGGTTTAAGTTTGACTTGAATTGATGTACCATTGATAATTGAATTGAGCTATTCGAATTTGGTTTGAGTTTAACTTGTTTAGGCTCGAAAATGAGATGAATTTGAATAATTTTTTAGACTCGTTTTAAAAAAAAAAAAGTTTGACAGGACTAATTTATTTATGTATAAATAATTGGGCTTGACTTGTTTTGGATTTGTTGAGGCTCGATTCATTTTTTTAAAACAAATCGAATTTGAACAATTTTTCAGGATCATTTAACAAAACAAACTCGATCGACTCAGCTCGAATTTGTTTGAGTTCATTCGATTATTAGACTTGCTCACAATTTCCTCCTTTGGGTAGGATAGGAAATCAGGACCGGCTTAATTGGTTCAATTCTAACTCCAGGGGCTCCCATATTTTTCTTTAGGCTTTCATATTATTGTTTGATATATTTAGGTTTTTTTTCCCGCGAAAGGTAGGTCACCCTTGTGCCTCGTAAGTATAATACGAAAGAAAGGAAAAGCAATGTAAAGACCGTTCTTTGCATTTGGAAACTTTGAAATAATGAATAAAAAATAATTGAAATAATAAATGCTTAATTATTGTCCTTCAAATCCCTTATTATATTGTTAGATTCAATGAAAAAATGTTATCGCTCTTATCACCGTAGTAACAACTTTGAGGTTTATGATTTGGAGTAAATTTTGTTACAGCAGTAAGATGCCGTCAAGTTTACGTGATATTATCATTCTGTAAGAATATTCTGTAAGAATGTTGTTTACGTGATATTATCATTCAACAAGAATGTCACAACATGGACAAAGTTTTCCATTATAAATATGTGGAATTAATCATTTACTTGTTATATTTTTATTGAATAATTAAACTATGTGACGAGATAATATGACGATACCATTGTAATGAATATTTTATTCATAATTTGTATGATGTTGTGAAAAATAATATTTCGGAGATAATTTAATTTTGAATAAATTGTATTTTATATTTTGAAATATTTAAAAAAATTTATTTTACACCTTAAAGGATAAATTTTTTATTTATATTTTTAATATATCAAAAATATTGTAATGCAATTTTTTTTGATAGTTTTTGTTTTTTTTATCAAAAACTATTCATTGACGTGACATAAGAAAATAAAAGAATTTAATAAACGTGTCGCATTGTAATATTTTTAACATGTTGACGAAAAAAATTTAATTTTTAAAANCTCCGAGCAAGAAGAAGACTAAGACTAAAAAGCACAATGCGCCTTCGCAAGCTCCGGCTCCTGAACTGCTCGGTCCACCAGCACCCCCAAGCGAAGCTCCCGGACCTAGTCTTAACTCGGACTCGCCTAGTCCAGCTCTAAATGATAAGGTATTCGTTTTCTTCCTCTTTTTTATTAACCGTACTCGTCTAACATGCGCCGGATCGTCAATGTGCATCAGATCTGGCACTACTGGTTCTACATTAAACTTGCCAACACAAATAAAAAAATTATCATGATTTATTAGGCGTAGGGTAGTGAAGTAGGATCAGATCTTTCAAATGCACTATTGTTTTCCTGCGCAGTAGGTAGTCTGTGTTTCTCTTCTGAGGAGCGTGCGCGTATCTGGTGCACGATAGAGTTGTTGTGATGGCNGGGTAGTGAAGTAGGATCAGATCTTTCAAATGCACTATTGTTTTCCTGCGCAGTAGGCAGTCTGTGTTTCTCTTCTGAGGAGCGTGCGCGTATCTGGTGCACGATAGAGTTCTTGTGATGGANCAAAAATATTGTAATGCAATTTTTTTTGATAATTTTTGTTTTTTTTTATCAAAAACTATTCATTGACGTGACATAAGAAAATAAAAGAATTTAATAAACGTGTCGCATTGTAATACTTTTAACATGTTGACGAAAAAAATTTAATTTTTAAAGATAAAATATAAAAATTGTTAAATCTTAAGGATACCAAGTATAATTCTCTCTTTATTTTTTAAAAAAGAAATTGAGCAATCAATCAATAAAAAAAAATTATTTACCAGACGAGACAAGTAATTAAAGGAAGCTTCAGACATGACACCCCACCCTCCTTTTTCTTCTCTTCCCTTTCTCTCTTCTACGTGTATAGGTTCCCTTCGTTGATGCCACTGTAAGATTTCCAGCTGTAAAAACTGCCCTTCATCAAAGAAGCAAAATCAAAAGAGTCCAGCTCATAATCATTTGATGCAACGCGTAACACAGACCCTGTGACGTGGCTATAAAACCTAACACATTCACATCACATGCAATTAGGCCCCACAACGTAGAGTCCAGTCTGTTTAATCGCCACATAACAACGGCTAATTTTTGTAGGTTTTGAATGGCCCCACTCAAACGTCGACTGTTCTTTAATCTTTATGCGACTCATCTACACCCTAACACGCCTACTTATACTCTCTATCTCTGTATGCTCTCATCACTTCTCTGTGTTTTGTTTTCTTGTCTCTCTCTCTCTCTCTCTCGTGGATATGGATCGGAGTAATGTGTGTGCATTTGCATTTCTGTGCATTATAGTCGCCGGAGTCGGAGCACAGTCTCCGGCGTCGGCACCAACCAAAACTCCTCCAGCGACGGTGACGACGCCTGCTGCATCGCCTTCCACTGCGACAGCTCCGTCCAAGCCTAAGTCGGCAGCTCCGACAACTTCTCCGACTTTGGCTCCACCAATAGCGGCTTCACCTCCCACAACTACAGCTCCGACATCTGCTCCACCGACCGCTGTTTCAGCTCCCCCAACTACGGCCCCTACATCAGCTCCACCGGCGGCGAAGACCCCTGTCAGTTCGCCTCCTGTGGCTTTAAGTTCTCCGCCATCGCCTGCGCCTGTGCAATCTCCACCTGCTCCGGCACCAGAGAAGGCGACTCCGCCTGCTGTTTCTCCTCCAGCGCCGGCTTCTGCTCCTCCGGCTGCAACTCCGGCTCCGGCTCCGAGCAAGAAGAAGACTAAGACTAAAAAGCACAATGCGCCTTCGCAAGCTCCGGCTCCTGAACTGCTCGGTCCACCAGCACCCCCAAGCGAAGCTCCCGGACCTAGTCTTAACTCGGACTCGCCTAGTCCAGCTCTAAATGATAAGGTATTCGTTTTCTTCCTCTTTTTTATTAACCGTACTCGTCTAACATGCGCCGGATCGTCAATGTGCATCAGATCTGGCACTACTGGTTCTACATTAAACTTGCCAACACAAATAAAAAAATTATCATGATTTATTAGGCGTAGGGTAGTGAAGTAGGATCAGATCTTTCAAATGCACTATTGTTTTCCTGCGCAGTAGGTAGTCTGTGTTTCTCTTCTGAGGAGCGTGCGCGTATCTGGTGCACGATAGAGTTCTTGTGATGGAGCATTTTAGCGTCGGGTGGCAACAATGTGTTTTTTTGGAGGATAGTTTGGTGGCACTGAATTATTGAATAATATTATTTAGACTTAATTTATTAATTTAATCTATTAAATATAATTAGATTGGTTGTAAAAATAGATAATAATAGCATTGCACATAATTAATCCATAAAAGATCAAAGATGTAGAACCCGTGAACAACGCGGCAGTGGAGACTGCAGAGTCAATCAATGCCCACATGGAAATGATGTCGTTTTACAGAACAATTACAGCAGAGAATCCGGACTGGCACAGACAGCCGGTGAACGGTGGCACAACATTATTTACACTAATTGGAATGACAGAGTTAATTAGCGTTAGTTTCTATAATATTGTCTGAATTATTTATAACAATNGTCGTTTTACAGAACAATTACAGCAGAGAATCCGGACTGGCACAGACAGCCGGTGAACGGTGGCACAGCATTATTTACACTAATTGGAATGACAGAGTTAATTAGCGTTAGTTTCTATAATATTGTCTGAATTATTTATAACAACAGTTGAATTGTGGGAAAAATTGCAGAGTGGAGCAGAGAAATTGAAGAGCATGCAGCTGGTGGTGGGGAGCTTGGTATTGGGATGGGCTGTGTTCAGCTGGATATTCTAATTAATTCAAGATGAGATTGTTTTCAATTATTGTCCCTTTTTTTTTTTTTTTTTTTTTTATCATAAATTATTGTCCTCATTGTATCAGCATTTTGATTTGACATTGTTTGTTACAATTATTTAGCCCACGGCCTGGATCTGGATCTGGATCATTTGGGGATTGCATTTAGCCACATATGTGTTTTTTTTGGAATAATGCGCTATTATGTGTACAAAAAAAATTGCATCAAAATTTTAACCAAATTATTTACGATCGTAGGATGAATAGATCACATCATTGATCTAACAGCTATAATTGATTTGGTGTAAATTTTAATATATGGATTTGATGCATAAAGAAACACCTTTTTTTTATTCTTTGGTAGAGTCTGTGGTGGTGAAACTTTGTACTTTTCTTGTAGTTGACTACTTTTCTTCCTTCTGAACTCTCTGGAGTACTTGTGTTACAGTAAATCAAGTTCTCNTTTTTTTTTTTTTTTATCATAAATTATTGTCCTCATTGTATCAGCATTTTGATTTGACATTGTTTGTTACAATTATTTAGCCCACGGCCTGGATCTGGATCATTTGGGGATTGCATTTAGCCACATATGTGTTTTTTTTGGAATAATGCTATGTGTACAAAAAAAATTGCATCAAAATTTTAACCAAATTATTTACGATCGTTGGATCAATAGATCAGATCATTGATCTAACAGCTATAATTGATTTGGTGTAAATTTTAATATATGGATTTGATGCATAAAGAAACACCTTTTTTTTATTCTTTGGTAGAGTCTGTGGTGGTGAAACTTTGTACTTTTCTTGTAGTTGACTACTTTTCTTCCTTCTGAACTCTCTGGAGTACTTGTGTTACAGTAAATCAAGTTCTCTCAACTTTTGTATCGGTGGTTCCAACATTAATTTTATTATTAATATAACGGTCATACTGTATTATTTTTTTAAGTTATGTCCCGATAGAAATAGTGCATATGCATAAATAAATGTAAATGGCGGGGTGTATGAAGTCCCATTAAACAAGTTAGTTGGATCCATATTAAGCAAACTTTTTCTATTGACCAGCCAAATAAGAATTTGGTGTCAACCAAAGAGTAGTATTTATCCAATTTAATTTGTTAAAGCAATCAATTATTATTGTTGGATTGACAACGAACTTAAATATTATTTTCAAGGGTGTTTTATACTTTAGACCCTAAATTTTTTTAAGCGTTTCATTTTGTACTTTTAAAGATTAATTTTTTTACATTAAACTCTTAATGTATCAAAAGTGTTGTAATATAATTTTTCCGTTAGCTTATGTAATTTTTTTGGTCCAAAGTTAATTCCTCGACACTGACTGAAAAGCTAATGAAAAACTAATATAAATGTTATATTGTAATATTTTTAATACATTGAATGTATAATGTAAAAAAATTAATTTTTGAGAGTTCAAAATACAAATTGCCCTATCTTCAAACCCTTAGATTGCTAGATTCAAATAATATTGTTCTTCAACTAGTGCAAAGGCAGTGTGGTTTTTTTACTACTTCGCTTTAGAGTGTGAACATTTGCCCCCTTTTTTTTTTTCGAATTGTTTCGGAGGAACATTTAAACTTTTGATTATCGGTAAGTAGAACATTTGAACTTTACAACTCATGAGTTGTGGCATTAAAGCTTGATCCTCAGAGCTGCAAAGAAGTAAGAGGGAGGCAATGGAGATCTACAATATATTTCCGATGGCCCCTCTCATTGTAGTCAGATGCCGGTTTGTCTAGCTCATCAAAAGACAGATTAATGTCCTCGATTCAAATATTAACAATTTTTTAAAATCACGTCATGAGAGATTTATTTCTCGTGAATATCTTAAATTCGGCATAAATGACTTTTCTTTGATCGAATTGGAGAAAAAAATTATTGAGATACGCGTTAGTTGACTCAAACATTCTTAAGCGTTGAATCAAACAAAAAGAGACAGGCTAGATGTGATGCACTTCTTCAAGGTAGTTGTTGTGAATTATCATCTTTAGTTGAAAATTTTTCATCCATATTCATGTAGTAACACATAAATTCAAAGACATCCAAGGTGTTTGTTTATTTGAAAATGTTACATAATCTAAATGAAATCAAAAAATTGAAATTTAAATGTATATCATCCTTTGGAAGAGTGTGGGATGAATGANATGTCCTCGATTCAAATATTAACAATTTTTTAAAATCACGTCATGAGAGATTTATTTTTCGTGAATATCTTAATTTCGGCATAAATGACTTTTTTGATCGGATTGGAGAAAAAAATTATTGAGATACGCGTTAGTTGACTCAAACATTCTTAACCGTTGAATCAAACAAAAAGAGACAGGCTAGATGTGATGCACTTCTTCAAGGTAGTTGTTGTGAATTATCATCTTTAGTTGAAAATTTTTCATCTATATTCATGTAGTAACACATAAATTCAAAGACATCCAAGGTGTTTGTTTATTTGAAAATGTTACATAATCTAAATGAAATTAAAAAATTAAAATTTAAATGTATATCATCCTTTGAATGAGTGTGGGATGAATGAACCCTATTGAAAAAATTAATAAGACTTATTCATCCAAAGAATAATATGCATTTTGATTTGTGATGTTTTGAATTTTATTTACGAATTTAACGCTCAGGATTTAAACTGCAGCCCCTGGTAAACAGTGCCATCCAGACCCATAAACATGGGGTTCACCAAACGCATGAAAGGGGGAGTTTCATATTTTCCATATCAAGATAAATAGGTAAATTAATCAATGTATCCCTACTAAATAATTTTATCTATCCAAATCACATCCTAACCCCCAACTACTCTCCTCTTTGAAGTTAAACAAATATGGGTATAGATTAAATTGGTCAATGAATAATTTAGTCAATTAGAAAATATATTTTTGTTATAATTGTTATTAATTCGTGGGTTCCACGTATGTTAGGGGTATAATTCGGGTCGGTTGGGCGGGTTGAAGGGTCAACTTTAGGTATATAATTTTTAATTATAACCCTAATCTTAATCTTAATCGGACCTCAATCCGAGATATTCAACTCAAGTATTGCCTAAGTATAATTCGGGCGGGCTCGGGTTGAATTCAGTTTGAGTTTGAATTTCGTAATTCGGGCTGATTTTTGGTTATAATTCGAGTTGAATTCATTCAAACTCGAAATTAGTCCGTTGTTCTAAAACTAGTACATATTACATAGTATTCACCTAAAATAACAATCAATAACTTCAATTAAATGTTTAACATAAAAATCATACTATTTAAAAGTAAAAAATCATTGTTTAATATAAAGATATAATAGGCAAACATATGACATAAGACTGAATCAAAAGATTGATCCCTAGTGTTTTAAGTTGTAAATTATATTTCTATATTAATTTATATATTTATTTTTAAATATGTTCAGGTTGGGCCTGATTTATATATTCAAGTTGAATTTGATTTGAAATTTAGGTTGAGCCCAATTTAAATTTTGAGTTGAACCCGATTTATATATTCGGGTTAAACCCAGAAATCCGAGACCTCAATCCGAGTACTGTTTGAATTTAATTTGAGTTAGTGTATTTTTGTTCAAGTTCAACCCAAATATTAAAAACATCAATCCAAATCTTATTTTTTTCGAATTAGCTTTGGGTCGACCCGCTCAAGTTAGAGCCTTAAGATATGTTTATACTATTTTATCAATCAGATGTATGAATAAAATTTGTGTACTAATTCCATGCACAAGTCCCCCCTCCCGCCCCCCAAAAAAAAAAAATCCAACATGCCCCCAGTGCATTATTTGAAATCTCACTTGCCACTCTGTCAGTGCTTGTCCGCGGAATGAATGCTTTGACGCTAATACCCTCGATAACAAATATAAGAAAAATTCCTTTTGTATCCCCTCTAGATTATCATATTTTTACGGATATCTTTCTATTTTCTAACACTTCCACTATCCCACCTATGAAAGATTTTAAAATTTAACATTTTTATTGTGAAATATTTTNTTTAATCTTAATCGGACCTCAATCCGAGATATTCAACTCAAGTATTGCCTAAGTATAATTCGGGCGGGCTCGGGTTGAATTCAGTTTGAGTTTGAATTACGTAATTCGGGCTGATTTTTGGTTATAATTCGAGTTGAATTCATTCAAACTCGAAATTAGTCCGTTGTTCTAAAACTAGTACATATTACATAGTATTCACCTAAAATAACAATCAATAACTTCAATTAAATGTTTAACATAAAAATCATACTATTTAAAAGTAAAAAATCATTGTTTAACATAAAGATATAATAGGCAAACATATGACATAAGACTGAATCAAAAGATTGATCCCTAGTGTTTTAAATTGTAAATTATATTTCTATATTGATTTATATATTTAGTTTTAAATATGTTCAGGTTGGGCCTGATTTATATATTCAAGTTGAATTTGATTTGAAATTTAGGTTGAGCCCAATGTAAATTTTGAGGTGAACCCGATTTATATATTCGGGTTAAACCCAGGAATCCGAGACCTCAATCCGAGTACTGTTCGAATTTAATTTGAGTTAGTGTATTTTTGTTCAAGTTCAACCCAAATATTAAAAACATCAATCCAAATCTTATTTTTTTCGAATTAGCTTTGGGTCGACCCGCTCAAGTTAGAGCCTTAAGATATGTTTATACTATTTTATCAATCAGATGTATGAATAAAATTTGTGTACTAATTCCATGCACAAGTCCCCCCCCCCCCAAAAAAAAAAAAAAAAATTCAACATGCCCCCAGTGCATTATTTGAAATCTCACTTGCCCTGTCACTCTGTCAGTGCTTGTCCGCGGAATGAATGCTTTGACGCTAATACCCTCGATAACAAATATAAGAAAAATTCCTTTTGTATCCCCTCTAGATTATCATATTTTTACGGATATCTTTCTATTTTCTAACACTTCCACTATCCCACCTATGAAAGATTTTAAAATTTAACATTTTTATTGTGAAATATTTTTTACAAAACTATTCGTGATTTTTTTTTATGTTTATCATACACCATGTATTGTCCTAACAATGCTTTGACTCTGTTTAATT